CGCGTCGCTTAGTGTGTGCTCGGTAAGTCTCCTCCCTCATACTCAAATTTTCTGGGGAGAACCCTGCATATATCAACATATAACTTATAGGATGCACGAAGAGTGTCGGAAGTCAACCAAATTTTGACTACATTTACATGCATATTTTTCATAATGTATCATTTATCATATATCAACATACAACTTCTAGGACACATGGAGTGGGTCAACCAAAAAGATCTGGTGTACTAAATGAACTAACCACACAATTTTACCTACAGCTTTACAAGAATATATCTAGTAACAGGTAACTCAATAAGTAACAGGTATCCTGGATACAATTCATTTTATGGAAATAGTCATAGAGAGACTGAAATGAGACTGTTGGTAACATAAAAAGGAGATGGAATTCAGGCCCCAAAACAAGGGACTTGAACAGAAGTGGCAACTGTGAAAACATACAAGCTGCACTTCCCAAGTCTGGCCCCATTTACCAATACTGGGAGAACTGGGCTGGGTTCTACTGGTCAGCATTCATCACAATTGACTGTCCTTTACATGTACCGTACACACACAGCATGCTAATGTCTAATATTAGTCTGGAAATTATAACTCTTAACCTTACCCCTGCAGTGGTAGCCTTTGGTGCCAAAAACTGCTATTGGTTACAGGGTTATGTAGCAGGGACGAGGATAAGAAATGTTTAGAGAGTACAAGTCAAAATTGATTATTGTATGAAGAATAACTGTCTGATGAAAAATCTGACTAAGTTTGGAAGGAACATCATGTGCATGTATGCCTCGTATTTACATGGCTCCTATATTGTGTAAACAGGCCACATAGCACCACACCCCCACTGCATCCTGTATATGTACAATGTGGGTGTGTCCCTAAATGGTACAACTGCACGCATTCCCCTGTCACTATGTAAGTGTATAGGAATGGCACAGAGACAAAGTCCCGGGGAATCCAAATTTGCTACTAGTACTAGTGTAGAAATAAGCACTCATTCAAAGTTTACAGATAAACAACAGAAAAATATTGACATTATGTACATGTATGTGTGATGCGTGGAGATAAAATGAACAGTAAACTTGACACCAAATTCTCCTTTCTATGGTAAGAAGCAAGCTGCTACCAGTGTTAACTGGTCAAGGTTTAGCCTATTGAATTGGTATATACAGTATCCACTCCAGTTACTACTGTACCACATACCTCCAAAGCTGGTGCTTTACACTGATGAACTGAATTATACTGGTTGACCAATTCAGATTGCAGTTACAAGTTACCAACAGTAGACTCTGTTCACTGGATAAGCTTCTCTAGTTCTGAGTCCTTTATACAAGTTTGAGATGTATATCTGCATCTCATTTATGAGTAATACCATCACTATTACTATGACCACTTAGTGAGTATTGCCATGTGTGTGTGAGTGTATGTGTAGATATATATAAATAATCTTTGAGGTACCGGGGTACATCACTAATACACGTAAGACTGTGAATATGAAATCTAAAATTAATTTAAGTTGTCAATGCACTTGACTTAACAGTAACATTTACCACAAGAAATTTGCATCAGATTCAGAAGCTATCAATGTAATCTATAGACTATTGAAGTATTATTCCATGCATAAGCACTGAGGCACTGAAAATGAATTAGCACCAAATTGATTTATTGACAATTTAAAGTATGCGTAATCTGCAAAAAATCTTGAGCCACACTGGAAAAATTTCTGTCCCACATGAACAGATCCCCTCTGCATAGCCTCCGTATCAGGCTTATAGAACTGGGGGTTTGGTGGTCTTCCGCTGTTTTCTGATTAGCCCAGTTCTAAAAAAACGGGGGTAATTCAACCAGGCCGGCTATGTTGTCTATATGCAATCAGAAAATAGCACATAACACTTTTTTATTAACAGCTCCTAAAGACCCTGAAGACCCCCAAAACCCCCAGTTTTTGGTGTGCTATGGAGGCTACCCTCTGTATGCGCCTCTCACTACATCACCAGTTCCCGACTGTCTGGAGAGCTAATTTAGGACCAGGGGTGGACAACTGACGACATGACTCGCATACAAAACATGCATGGGGAATGCGACCGAGAAAAAAAACAGCCAAGTAGCCTTAAAAAATCCCTAAATAGCAGTAAAAATTTTGCTCTAAGTGTTTAAATTGTACTTAAAGATGCCAAGAGTACCATAAAAATACAGAAAAAAAGTGTATATAGGGCAGATATGATAGGCAGACGTTACAATGACCCACTAGCTAATTTTATCCCTCCCCTGGGTCTGCAATAATTAGTTTAACCGCTAGGAGTGTCCCGACATTGAGCGTGAACCGTTATCCACGTATCCTCATGTTTACGGCAATAACTCACCAACGGTAGATCGTATAAACTTGAATATCGACTTTTATGACAGAATAACGTTCAAGTTATCATAGCAAGTGCGTAAAAGTATGATTCTGAGGTAAAATATTAAGTAATTTGGTTGCCGACTTGGCGCTATTTGCCCTCTCAAGTGGGTGGGTACCCCAAAAATCGACCCGCTACCCCCACACATTTCCACAATTTTCCATAAATTAGCTCGATTTCGCACATCTTGTCGATTTTAAAGGTGACTACTGTTAGATCGCGATGTCTAGATCTGTACCAAACGACCGTCCTACCTTCGAAATCGATGTTTTGGCGGGAGTGCAGCGCCAAACCTTGCTGAACAGTTGACTCCTTTCTTGTACTTCTCTATGCAAATGACAAAATGGCGGAAGTGGCTCTTCCTTTTAGCGAAGGCATCCCCTTGAAAAATAAACAAACCTCATATAGATTCTACAGTTTACTCTAAAATGTGTAATAGAAACATGTATAGTTACAAGTATTTATTTGTATATATTATACAGCAGAAAATTGTCCCTAAATTTTATTATTAGATAAAGAACGAGTTAAAATTTTCATTTTGAGGGGAAGCAAATGGTAGATAGAACAGCCGATCAATTGCAGCTGACCCTATCGGAAACACTCCAGGAATGTAAACAATGTGACCCGGAAGTAAACTCCCAAACACATGTTTCTTTGTGTCAGCTGAGGTCTTTCACTGCTGCACCAAGGTAGGATTTTAGTTTAATCAATACGATTATAGTGGTTTAATCAAGTAGGTTTAGATCAAGTAGGTATCAAGGATCAAATTGAAACCACCTAGGTTTAAAGGAATTTTCTGGTGCTTTCTGAATCCTATGTTTTGTTCCTTAAAATTGCAAAACTGTCATATAATGACAATGACAATGATCTTTATTGCATGTTCTTGCCCATAGGGCTAAATGCATTACAAAGATATATGTATATATGTATATATGTATCTATATCTAATAGGTACTACATTCTACAACAATACTATCAAGACTGTTATCTAATACGGTAGTAATACCTATTATTCTATCTTAGTATCTATCCTACCCAGTCCGCAGAGATTCTTCTCGCTTTTTGAAACATGTGTATATGAAGTGGCAGAGTTCTTCTATAATGAGTTGATTGTTACATGACATTAAGTAGTTAAATATGGCATCTATCGCTTTATTTCTACACCATAGGTTAATATGTATTTTGTTGAAAAACAGTGCACGCTCCTCTTCATATAGGCTACATTCTACTAAGAAGTGCATTTCATATATCAAGTAGCTAGTGCAAGTGCCCACATAGATATTTGTAGTCAGTTTGTATTATCTTCAAGAGCTTTTCTGTTGAAAGCTCCTTGATTGTCTTGCTGCAAATTACCTCAATTTAAAAAGAACGTCTTTGGGTCAGAGTCAGAGTAAGCCAGTATTCAACGACTTTAACCATTTCAACTTTTGTTCATTTTGTAGTACTAGTACAATGTATTCAAAAACCATTGTAACAGTGGGGGGTTTATTAGGTGCTGCAAGTGACCTGGCTGAGGGGTTTAGACCTTTTAGTCAAATGGTTAGAGTGTGCGGTTAGCGCGCTGGTGCCCGGGTGTGGCGTGGGTTCGATCCCCGGCCCGGGACCAGGAGTGTCTTTCTGTTTCTACTCTCCTAATTCTTAAACTTTGTCCAAGATGGCTATGAGTTAAAATAACCTCTGTACACTGTTGTCTATAGTTTTTCAGAGAACAAGAAAGAAACCAACCACCATGGCAGAAAAAAGAAAGGCAGATGATGCAGAACCTATCACAGCACAGGAGCCAAAAAAAGCCAAGAGCGACGGAACAACAACACAAGAAGACCCTCACTGGGCGACACCACTCTCAAGTTTCCAAGGCTTCGAAATGATCAAAATCCTGAATGACCACCCCAAGAACAAGAGTGTGTTCGTCCACGGAAAGTTCAGGGGTCACGAGGAAGAGGCAGTGGTGATCTTGGAGAAAACGCCCTTCAGCGAGGAGACCCTACCATTCGCTCTGTCGGGGGAGACCAAGCTGAAAGTGGGTCTGAAGAACGACATCTACGGGAACTATCATGGCACCCCTCCTGCTCAAGTTAATGGTATGTTCCATAGATAGACCATAGATAGCTACTGAGTAGTTTTACATAACTTTTTGATATTTGTTAGTATACAAGACATTTAACTTCACCAAATCTAGATTGGTTTTCATTTGCATATAACGTTAAGTCAGCTGGTAGAATTAAATCAATGCTAGAAATAACCATTTTTCTATCACTGGTACATGTAACATATACATTTGTTAGTAAGCACATATTCCTACATGCAGTTGTACAACTGCAAGTCAAGTACTCACTGACTTTGTACTGCTGTGTGCGGCTTCATAACTTGGATCTAAAAGGTATAGTAACATTGAATGTTTTGCTTTATAAGCATGCCCGTAGCCAGGGGGGTTCGGGGGGTTCGGAAGAACCCCCCCACAAGGCTCAAAGGTCCACTTTTTGGTCCACTTTTAATGTAAAGGTCCACTTTTTGGTCCACATTTTCTGTAAAGGTCCACTTTTTGGTCCACATTTTATGTAAAGGTCCAAGATTTTTCTTGAAAAGATGGACTGGAATCGTAGAAAAACTGCTCTCTTTGTCATTGAATAAAAATTTATCTCTGATTTTCTCTTGGAAATCCTCTCAAAAATGCACGAAATGCCATTTTAGAAGGTTCATTTTTCAAAATTTTCCGGGGGAGCATGCCCCCCGACCCCCCTAGGAACCTCGCGCCTTCGGCGCTCGCCTCGCGCCTACGGCGCTCAAGGTCCCCTCAAGCAGTGGGAAGAACCCCCCCATTCAAAATCCTGGCTACGGGCATGATAAGCTATTATTCATAGCTATAAGGAATTAGAGTAACAATAGACATCCATGCTAACTCAGTGATTGCTCCCCAGGTATTAAGGTATCTGTGGTGTACCCAGCCACTCCCAAACACCTTGTGAAGTATAGTCAGCAGCAGACTTACCTGGTACAGGAGACAGGAGACGATTACAGGAACATCACTCTGCCTTTCTTACAGGCAGAGGCTTTCAGGATACAGGTGATATAAGTTCATTATAACCTATTATAGCTCCAGAGTCCTACATCCTCTCCGCAAATAGGATGTAGGACTCAGGAGCTAGAGTAGGTTTGGTAACCAGGCTAATCTAACTTATAAGTAACCGTTACTAATTTTTTTTGTGAGTATTGTGAGAGCCTTATGGGGTTTTAAAATGTTCATGCTAACTTTAGATATGACAGCAAAATTTATGTGCCTTGGCTAGTGTACACTTACATGTACTACCAGTAACAACAACACACACACACACATATACTAGTAACACAGACACACTTACACACACTCATGCACACATACACTCACACATCACACACACACACACACACGCACACACACACACACACACACACACACACACACACATACATACACATTTACCACTCACAAACATGTACGCACTTGCAATCATAGATGCTCAAAATCTTAACAAAAACATTACAGTTTGATTATGGAAAGTACATGTACATACATGTGCATACATGTACCATGTTTGCTGCCCACAGTGGGTGTACAACATCTTGGAGCACAAGCAGGAATCAGAGAGGATTGTATTTGAGGATCCTGACAAGGAAACCGGCTTCATTCTTCTGCCTGACATGAAGTGGGATCTTAAACAGGTATGGATTTGTCACCCATAGTTTATTCCTTCCTAATTTGTGTACATTTTGTTTTTCAGCTCATACTTTCTCTAACCCCTTTAGACCTCTTAAAGTTAACCCTTGTCCTGCTGGCAGTTTTTACACCACATCATATGTTTCAATGATTTGATGTCTTAAGCAGGTCATAGAACCCTGACTTTTTTTGCCCTTTAAACATAGTTAATTCTGCATTCATTGCGTTTCGCTGCGGTGTGATGCGTTTCACGAGAAATTCCCCCAAATCATACATATACAAGGTGCTATCTAGATGGTACTGTATTTGCAACCCATATATACATGTATATGGGCTCAGCAGGACAAGGGTTTTACTAGCTTGAAGCCAACTAGAACTGCAAGCTACAGCAATGCATTATTTGTGAAGGTGATTGTCAAAAAATACCATTTCGAAAGATAACATCACATTTATTGATTTGTTGTTTCCAGGTGAATGACCTGTACCTCATAGCCATAGTCCACAAACACGGTATAAAGTCCCTACGAGACCTCACCGCTGAACACCTACCTCTGCTGCACAACATCCTCAAGAAAGGACAGGTTGGGAGATTTTGTGTCTTTTATTCTACTGTGTGATTTCTAGGTTTCAACAAAATTAAAAATTGAACCCTACCTTCCAAGCATGATGACTGCAGTTCTAAATCCTAAGGGATTATGTAAAAACAGACCATGAACAATTATATATCCTATTCTATACCTACTGGCTTCCTTTTGTTACTTCTGAACACTATATATATTATACACATGTATTTATGTATTTACCAGTATGTAATATATTTATGTAACGTTACTTGATACATGTAGCTTTTCAGCTTTTTCGGACTAAGAAGGCAGAAAACCTTTGCTATGGCCAGAAGCTACTCTGTAGCTATAGTATAATTATATACATGTGTGAGTGAGTGTGTGCGTGTGTGACTTCGTTCTTATGCCTACAGTAAGTCTAACATTTTTTCATGCCCCCAGGAAGCCATCCAGGAGAAGTTTTCCATCCCTCCGTGTAAGCTGAGAATCTACCTCCACTACCAGCCGTCCTACTATCACCTGCACGTGCACTTCACTCACCTGAACTTTGATGCACCTGGAACAGGTCGGATATTATATCATTTAAGCATAAACTACTCAAAGCTACCCACAATAGATTTTACACACATTACAGTCTTGACCTGCCATGTACTCGGACCACTTCTTGTGGGTGTAGTTCTTGTATTGCTTCTAGACTGCACTAAGTCTTATTTTATCAACACAATATATTATAACTACTTATTAGATATACATGTATTTGAATTATGCTTAACCTTCTATATTGATGTATTTTTTACTTGTTATTGACGATGTAAATTTTGATGTTGTATATATATGATGTTGTTTATGTGTTTTTGTATGGGGGAGGGCAACTTGTAAAGGTGCGTATGACGATACCGTATGTACGTACCTGTTTTGCCCTCCCTTTCACTTTGTGAAAAATCATAATAAACAAATAAACAAATAAACAGGTGTGGAGCGGGCCCACCTGCTGTCTGATGTCATAGAACACCTGGAGATAATGCCTGACTACTACAGCAAGAAGACACTTGCTTTCTGTCTCCGAGAAAACGATCAACTGTTGGCAGAGTTCAGGAAGGCTGGGAGAGTACCACAAAAATCTGAGTAGTCACTATAATAGGTAGGATGCATCTGTCTGTTTTATATCCAAAAAGGACCAAATGAATAGTCTAAAACTCTGTAGTCATTTTAGTGTACCGATGTTGTTGAATTGATGCTTTTAATAGTACATGTACCTCAAAAAGCTGTTTGAGAATTCACAACAAGAGGTATGTTGATGAAGGTTAGACATCCAGGTAAACAATATTATTCAAAGACAAATCAGACTTAGACCTCCATGCCATTGAACACCTGGAGATAATGCCTGACTACTACACCAAGAGGACACTTGCTTTCTGTCTCCGAGAAAACGACCAACTGTTGGCAGAGTTCAGAAAGGCTGGGAGAGTACCACAAAAATCTGTTTGAGTAGTCACTACAATAGGTAGGATGCATCTGTCTGTTTTATATCTAAAAAGGACCAAGTTAATAGTGTAAAACTCAATACTCAAAGGCTGGGACAGTACCACAAAAATCTGTTTGAGTAGTCACTATATACAATAGGTATGATATATTTGGGTACTACTCTGTATGTTTTACTCTGTCTGTTTTATATGTAAACGGACCAAATTGATAGTCTAAAACACTGTTACGGTAGTCATTTTAGTCAACTGATGTTGAATTGATGCTTTTAATGGATAGTCTATTCCTTAAATAAAATGCCAGGAAAGTTTGTTCACTATATCAGTAAAATGTCATTGATATAAGCTGACCTGCTTGTTTTAGGCATGAAAGATGTGTGAGATCAAACAACAGTCTTGTTCATGTATATTTGAAACATGAGGTACCATTCGTCCATTGCAGTAGTTAGTTGCTTGTTCATTTGTTTGTTTCTTGAAGAAAACTAAAGAACAATTCTGTTAACACTTGTGAGTTCTGTCTGTATCTGTCTGTGTCAGTATAGCCGGTATAACTGCCCTTCGGTGTAACACACCAGCTTCACAGGCACGCAGCGCGGCGGCAGCTGGCTATATTACACCGGACGAGTTGTTACACCTAACCCTTGAACATCTAACTCTTAACATTGTTTACAGCTATCCAATGACAATGCCCCTACTGTACTTGGTCACAGTGAGTTCCACTCTGTGATAGTTCTAGGAAAGAATGAGTTTTTGAACACCTCAATCCTTGGTTGATAACTCTGGTACTTGAAGGCGTGACAATTTCATGTTCTTTTCTCAGCTGGTACATTGTATTAGGTACTTAGTACTAAGTAGTTGCTATGGCTTCGGCATGATCATCGGCTGAATGAGGAACCCGGAGAATGTGACATAGTTGTTCTCGTCGCTGAAGAGCTGCGATCCCGTTCCCAGGCGCACCCAGATCTCGTCCCCGGGTTCTAGCGTGAGGACGGCAGAGTTGCAGGTGGAGGTGTAGTCGCCCCGTGGCCCGTTGTACACAGACACAATGTGTTCTCCAGTCGCCTGGAATGTGTCCCTGGTAGAAACAGTTAAAACAGTAGCCTTAGTTTAACATTTTTCATTTTTCCCCATTGCCAGGCACCCACTCTACATGCACCCTATTTGATCGGTCCCTAGCCCAACAACAGACCTGATCAGCCATTCATGTTTACCAACTAGCTAGCTGCTGCTATCCTCTACCAGGCTTCGGGAGACGGCTGGAAAGAGTAGAAATCGGTCAAATAGAGAGATAACATGCCGAGGGAGTTGGTCCGCTAGAGAGTACATTTTGCCGCAACCGAGAGAACATTTGGAGTGTGACGACAGCTGAGTTACCGGTGGAGGTGTAGTCGCCCCGCGGTCCGTTGTACACAGACACGATGTGCTCCCCAGTCGCCTGGAATGTGTCCCTAATAGTAGTAGCAACAGTAACAAGGGAAATCGTAGATTTGAAACCTCCGGGGTTTTTTGTGTTCTATTGGTTTAGGTTATTTGTTTGTGTGTAGTATGAAAGTTATGTGCGTAATATGTTTGTATGTGTTTGATGGCTACTGACGGTTGGTTCGGTATGGACTGTTGATTAACGTGTCTCACAGTCTGACAGCCTGCACCGTCACCCGCGCCATTACCCCCGCCGTCATCCCGCGCCGTCATTGCTGCGCCGTCACCCAAAATTTTTATCGGAACCAGACACCCCTCTGTTTGACCCCTTTTGAATGCTAAGACCCAAAACTGCAACCGCCCCATTCCTTAACAACATGGTAATTACCATTTTCAGCATGGCGGGGGTGTCCGGAGCACTTAAAAACCTTTTATTTCGACGCCCATAAACACATATGCAATTAAACAAAAACGTTCTGCATCATCTGCAGCCCAATAGCAATACGTATACCGAACCACAGACAAATCCGTCCAGCCGATCGCGAGAAACAGCTGCTGACAGAAATGTTTCGAACCATAGTAAAACCTCCTCGCGGAAGGATATCTCCTTCCCCGGAGGTAAAAACAGTTGTCATTTAATCTACATTTTCTATTTTCTTTTTTACCCATTTTGCCAGGCTTTGGGAGGCAGCTGGAAAGAGTAGAAATTGGCCAAATAGAGAGAACATGCCGGGGAGTTGGTCTGCTAGAGATTACAGGTGCAGCAAACTGTACTCTTTAGCAGACCAACTCCCCTGCCATGTTATCTCTCTACTTGGCCAATTTCTTCTCTTTCCAGCCGCCTCCCGAAGCCTGGTAGAGGCTAAGACACCCACCTAATATCCACCCATTGCTCTGTTTCTTCTTCTTCCATCTCAAACACATAAGATCAATGACCATGACCAGACAGCTTTCACCATGGTAACTAGTGTTGTAGCAGACACCCTGTCGCATTGGGTTACATTATGTAGTGGCATGACACGATCTGGTCACCATATACTATGAGTTTGAGTAGGAATAAGCAGAACTGTAGTTTGTTAGGCTAGTGACTGATCAAAAGCTCCAGGTGAGAGACTTTCTTTGTGTTGGATCAAAAGTTTTAACTTTAAATACATTAACAGTTCAGCCGTACCTCATAAGGGACAGTAGACACCCCGACCTGTCGTTGCCCTTCATGGCAGTGAAGCTGAAGAAGTAGAGACCACCGATGGGGGCCACGAACTTTCCCGTCCTGACGTCATAGGCTTTCTTAATGTTGGTGTGCACAATGTCATACACCACAGGCTGGTCTGCATCACTCTGGAGGTATTATTAAAATGGTCCTTCCATATTCATCATGCAGATATGGTCCAAATTTACAATATTTTTATCTATATCCAAGTTACATGACTCCGATACATCTCAAGTATGAAATTACATTGTGATTATGTTTTAATCTGGTCTAAATTTAATGATCTTGCATCCATTGAATCTGCCATAGTTTGTATATGTTGTAAATTATAATACATGTACATGTATAAGTATGAAATATATGTATATCATAAGTATGAAATTCCCATCCCTTGAGGGGATAGCCTGAATTCCATCTGAGTTAGGACGTTGGGGAGGCCACTTAACATAACTAGATTTCAGGCATTTTCAGGTCTTGTCCTTGAATCTTGATCATCTTTGCCCTTTCCACCAGCGCTCACCTTGTCCATCCCAGACGACCTTGCCACAGAGAACCCCACCACCATGGTGGGAAGGATCCCCACCCCAGGGGCACCCTTGAGCCCCCGAGGTCCCGGGACACCAGGCACCCCAGGGGGGCCCTGGATACCTCTCCGTCCAGGCATGCCACGCGAACCTGCAAGAAAACAAACATCACAGTCTGCTTTCGATGTAAAGAACCCCTCAAACAGCAATCTTATTATTTTTACCTTCACAGTTTCTTCTTCTTCTCCAGAAAATAAGGTCAACGACCTGAACCAGACGTCTGTCACCATGGCAACTGGTGTTAGGTTGCATGATGTTGCAATTTTATAGCAGGAGGTATTTAAACTCCAGTCTGACCATATATATGAATGTGTCTGAGTAAGAATTAACAGTGTGAAGGTAAACATTATGCATTTGCTTTGAAAATGTTACCTTTCTAGTAATATTTAAGGGACAGTTTGGGTACTGGACGTTCAGAAAAGCCTTTCTTTAACCACCGTTGACGAGAGGAAACATATTTTGGTGTTGTCACCCCTATACTCACCCCTTTCCCCCGGGTGCCCCTTCTGCCCCGGCGTGCCCTGTGGTGCCAGGACGGTGATGTTGTTCACATTCGTGACGTTACACTGTCGGCTGCACGTTCCGAAGTCTTCCTCGGGAGACCTTCTAGTTCTACTCTGTTCCACGACTGAACGGGAAAATGAACTCCTCACGTACAGAGCAAGAAGGAGACTAAAAATAACCACCGAAAGTTTAGAACTTCTCACTCTGACGACCATGATTTTGGCTGAGACCTAGAGAGCTTTCCAAACCAATGTCAATGTCATCTTTGAACTTTGGAAGTATAATCAATTTGCTATTTCTGTATGGTACACATACGTTTCTTGGCGCGATGACAGGGGAAAGTTCTGTAACACTGATATTTTCTTTCCTCCGACATTTGTTCGTCTGTCTTTCCTTGGTATACGTACCGGTCCAAGGACTTGGGTGCCGATATCACGTATTATCTTTAGAAAGTTTATGCACGGAATAATGTTATATTATGCTACATAATTTGATTATAAACATAGACAAGAAGAGTCATATGAAAGTTGAGTGAAGTCAACCATTCGTTTTTGAAACTTAAAAGCTTTATGTTGTTCTTACCCCCAAATTCAAAGTCTTCTGTTACGGACCTGCAGCGAAGGTCTACATACTCTCCAAGCAGAGGTTCAGAGGGTTTGGCGTGTTTTTAGACTTTTATTTTACGCCAACCTGGTGTACAGATACCAGTGCAGAAAAGAAAGCCCGATAAAAAAACACGCCTAAATACGCCAAAACCCAAACCTCTGCTTGGAGAGTAGCCAAGGTCTATAGGGTTCAAGTACTAGAGACTAAGCATTGATTCTGACAACACATAGCACAGGCAGACTGAAAAGAAACGTTGTATCTTTCTTTATTTTTCTGAATATATATTTGAACTAATTTTAGAATTGGCATTTACTCATTTTATTTTATTTTCTAAATTTTGATTCTTCTGTACCTTAAGTTCATCACCAAGAGGAAAACAACTGCTTAGTGACAGAATATATAACTTAAATTTAAAATGTTAAATGTAAAACAGAAAACGTGTACAACAACTCATGCAGTCTTTCAAGACTGCTAAACTGTCGAGAGTATGCTTAGTAGATCTATGCACATTGATTGGCATAACATTATTATACATCGAACTTTAACTTTCTTTACCATTTCTTCTTGCGTAACTATACACGTGAAATGCTGGCTTCAATTGATCTCCCAGCATAGCAAAAGCTGATAACAAACTTTGAAAGGCCCTTGTCATCTGATTAACTTTGGCACACCTCCTCGTCTTGCCGCGAAAAACTAAGGAAAAAGGCTACACTTTTGCTGTGGACGAGTAAAGATCACTCTTTCTCTACACCCTAGTAACTGTGTAAGTGCACGTTACTTTCTGCTTTTGGAAGTTATAACTTGCTATATTGTCCACCCATTTACTAACTCATACCTTATCGGTACTTACTACAGTATTTTGAGAGACTTCTATTTTTAGTAAGTTAAAATGTGATTTAACCATCAAAACACAAGAGAAATTTATGATACTAGTAACATCTCCAACTTTCAAACACTTGTTGCTTGGACATTAGGTACATTTTTGTCAGACAGCAATGCTCACACTTAAGTGATAGGGGGCCTTATGGATTTTTCTATATCCTGATGTTTCCTTGGCTGGTCGGTGAACGTTAGACATCCAGGTAATAAGATACGCAAAAAAAACAGTTACTCAAGCAATTGGATATGATTTTACTCAAACAACTGGATTATCATTTTCCAAAATAATATCCATATATAGTGGCGTCGTGTGGTGTAGTGGTACATCACTGGACTATGAAACGGGGAGACCCGGGTTCGATTCCGAGTCGTACCCGAACAAGTCCGAACATGCGCCGCGACGTTGTACCCTTGGGAAAGGTACTTTACACGACTTTCCTCACTTCACTCAGGTGTAAATGAGTACCTAGCTTCGGCTAGGGACGTCCCTCGGATAGGACGTTAAATGGAGGTCCCGTGTTTGGGAGAGCCACACCCCACTCACGTTAAAGAACCCACCACACTTATCGAAAAGAGTAGGGGACCTTCCCGGTGTGAGTGGTTCAAACCTTACAGTCTGGTCTCAGGTTTGACATCTTTGAAAAGGTGATAGTCACCTGTTATGTCAATCCTTCCACAAATGTGGTAAATCGTCATAAATAAATCCAGTTTCTTGAGTAACTGTTGTTTTTTGTTTGTTGTTATTTCTTTTTGCGTTTTCTTGGCTGGTTTAATATCCATCTAAAACGTGAAAAGAATGGCCACGACGAGGACCAACAGCACCAACAGCTTGAGGATTCCCGGCGGCATCCCACCGGACTTCGCGCGGGCCCCGGCCGGGACTTTGACGGGCCGGGTCTTGGTGGGGAAGGTGATCCTGTCCCACTGTGTCCGGATGGCCTGCCCGGCTCCCTCCCAAGCCCCGGGCCCCACTAGGCGGTACTGGTAAGGCGTGCACGGCCCGAAGTACACCTGTAACAGTTATGGTACTAGTAATTTGTAGGTGACCATTTGGAAATGTTTGCATACATTAGCGCAAATAGTGAATAACTTTTGTTAGTATAGTTGAGCTTGGAGTTGAGAATTGCTCGTAAAGTTAGTGGTGACCCACGTAGGTGGTGACCCACCCAGGTACGTGTACATGTTTAGTTATAGCTCTCTGTAGCCTTTTATACAGTATCCCATCTGTATTGCATTCTAGACATCTGGCAACCCTCTGTAAAAAAAGTGTTAAACTCCCTGTGAACCATTAGACAATGTACCTGTTAGTAGTAATATACATATAGTTTAGTAGTTCGTATTACCTGGATGTCTAACCTTCATCGACGTACCTGTTAGTAGAGTTAACATACGGATCGCAGAAGAAATCTGGACTGTTTGGACCCCTGTCTATAGTAAGTGATCATAGACGATAAGATACCAAACTACCACTAGACTGAGATTACACACCTCCATGGCCAGGCGAGGGTCGGAGAGGAACAGACGCTTGAAGTCAGGCTTGACTCCGATCTGGCCGGCGAGCTCATCCATGTACGGAGTGTATTCGACCTGCGTTATTAATAGAGGGTTAATGACCTGCCCCTAGGTGTATATGGTGAGATAATCCCTGGTCAGGTGTGACTGATAACCACCGAATAAACCACCAAGTGAGCGTAGCGAACGAGGTGGTTTAGGAGGTGATTATTGCACCTGACCAGGGATTATCTCACCATATACACAGAGGATAAGGCGGGGCATTAACGTTATTATCATATAGCTTTCTCAACTACATATGTTGTACTAAAAGTTATTGGACGCAAGACTAGTGAATATATTCACTAATAGAGATAATATATTCACTAATAGAAATAAACCAAACCTGGATGGTGTGCCGTGGGGATGAGTAGTACCGCCTGGACATGGCGGCCGCCTTCTGCCTAATGTCGTCGCACATTGCGTCTTGCGACGGGAGCCTGTCGACGCCCTGGAAGGTCGCAGAACACAGCAGTGAATTAGCGGATATAGAAAATAGTACAGCAAATATTCTTGAAGACTGGGTAGAAAGTCTGATGTGAGCGTCAGCCAGATGTAAATTGTGATGTGTGGTGTAGGAATGTATCGGGTTTGAGACTGTATGATTTGAATTGTGAAGGTTTTGCAGTTCGTGTATAAATGTGCCGTATTAAGCAACTGGCTTTCCGGGTGAGTCGGCTGTAGTTCAGTTGAACCCCGTAGAGGGCGACTTTAAAGTGTACGTTACGAGCAGATACGCCGACAAAGTTTTTTTTTTGTTTCTATATATGTTGTAGTTTGTACAGTCAAGTTCTACTCAAACATGTTCAATTTTCGTATTTGTGAAGTGCACCCTAGTATAATTCAAAGTTTACCGCGTCGAAGTGAGTCATCTTGGTATCCTTAACTATAGAAATCCCCATTGGGGGAAAACTGTGCTCTGCTACCTTGAAGACCCTGGTCGCCCAGCGGGACTGCATCTCAGAGATGGGCATGACCGAGCCAAGGGGCTGGACCAGACCAATGATGCTCAGCGTGGGGGGGTCCAGGTTGGGAGGGAAGACGTACTTGTAGAGGTCGACCTGCATGATGTACAAAATGACCAATAAACTGGTGGACGTATCAACTACTAAGTACCTAATACCAGCTCAGAAAAGAACAAGAAATAGCCATGCCTTCATCGCCTGGGTACCCTGGCCTTCAATGACTAGAGTTATCAACCAAGGATTGAGGTGTTCAAAAACTCATTCTTTCCTAGAACTATCACAGAGTGGAACTTGCTGTCACCAAGTACAGTAGGGGCATTATAATTAGATAGATATTCCAAGGCTAGGTGTCACGAGTCGTTCGGTATAATATAGCCAGCTGCTGCCGCGCCGCGTGCCTGTGAAGCTGGCGTGTTACGCCGAAGGGCGGTTATACCGGCTATACAGATACAGAAGCTGATGTGTTACGCCGAAGGGCGGTTATACCGGCTATACAGATACAGAAGCTGGTGTGTTACGCCGAAGGGCGGTTATACCGGCTATACAGATACAGAAGCTGGTGTGTTACGCCGAAGGGCGGTTATACCGGCTATACAGATACAGACCTGATTGTTCTTGACTTTCATGACCGACTCGTCGATGAAGGGAAAGTCGAAGCGGTACCCCGTGGCGAAGACGACGGCGTCGACGCCATCTTCAACCGTGTCGTCCTCAAAAACGACTCCGGTCTCGGTGAAGCGTTTGATGTTGGGCTTGACGATGAGGGAACCTGTTTGAAGTTAAAACTTTTGGTCCAACACAAAAATTCTCTCACCTGGAGCTTTCGACCAGTCACTCTGGTCTTCCTCAGTAGACTGACCCAGTGAGGCCTGTCACGTGGCTTCTTTGAAGTGTGACGTCAACACTGGGTCAAAGGTATCTGGTAGACATCAGGGCCCACCACCCTTCACTTAACCGCGACGGGGGCCGACATCGTCTACCAGATACCTTTGACCCATGCAGTGTTGACCTCACACTCCAAAGAAGCCACGTGACAAGCCTCACTGGGTCAGTCTACTGAGGAAGACCAGAGTGACTGGTCGAAAGCTGGATCAAACTTTTTAACTCTAAACATGTAACTACCAACACAGATGAACATTCATGATAGTAACGAGGGAAACTGTCACGTGGGGTCGTGTGGCGTAGCGGCAGAGTGCTCGACTCGGAACCAAGAGGTCCCGGGTTCGAGTCCTGATATGCCACCGATCTTGTGCCCTTGGGAAAGGCACTTTATACGACTTTCCTCACTTCGCTCAGGTGGAAATGAGTACTGCGCTGTCCTGTATTTGTACTCTGTGTTGGTAGCGGCATAAAATAAGTTGATATAACTTGAGTGTGCCGTCGCCATGTTTGGTCATGAAATGTTGGAATATAAAAATATTTTTTTAAAAACCTGTCATGATGCGGTTGGGCATGTCGTCGTTGACGGTCGGGTTCTGACTGAAGAAGTGGTGCTCCGGCTGAAGGCCGTACAGCGCGTGGTCAAAGCGCTGGTTGAGCCGATCGTGGATGAGTTTCAGCCGCAAGGACAGGGGAAGCCAGCCGAAGGTGGTCCTCTGAAAGCGGCTGCTTTTGGCTATGTCGAAGGGGAGGCCGTGGTCTGACACCCGGTCATGGATCCAGGCTCCTCTACGTGTACTCAGGTACACCTTGGGAGACAGAAACAACTTTGATATCTACAGGTTTCTCAACCTATGTGTAGAATTTTGATAGACCCATACCAGCAATTAGGTATATATATAATCAAATTATATTTTTGACATCACTAAGAAACGAGAAGAAGCTAAACCTTTGTATTAGTGTAGTTTTAGAGCTATTTGTACTACAAAGATGTATATTACCATTTCATCTGTTCACCTGTACTTAGCCTGATAGGACATGAATGTACAATAAAGGTTATTATTATTATTATAATCTTATACCATACAAAGACCCCGTAGGGCTTAACCCACTTCTGCAGAATTCTGAACTGGAGCCAGAATGCTGGAAAGGGTCCGGGGTCCTCGATGGCTGCCATGTATTTCTTACATCATTTTTACCTATAGTTTACGATATAAGCCCATCTAGATGTAAGGTTGCTGAGATATGGGAATTAGTCCGGAATTAAACTGGAAGTCCAGAATTAAACTGGGCGCTATTAGATGTACCTGTTTGGCATGCCTGCTGAGTTCCACGGCGATATCGCCTCCGGAGTTCCCGATGCCGATCACAACGACGCGTTTGTTCTCAAAACCACGCTGGTCCTTATAGTCATGACTGTAAAAGATGGAAAATGTATCATGAATCCAATATTCGAAAATCTGAAAGTAAAAACTGGATGGATTTTTTTAAACCAGGAAAGACACATGCCCGTAGCCAGGATTTTGAATGGTGGGGTTCTTCTCACTGCTTGAGGGGATCAGTGAGCGCCGAAGGCGCGAGGTATAGGGGTCCAGGGGCATGCTCCCCCGGGAAATTTTAAAATATGAACCTTCTGAAATGGCATTTCCTGCGTTCTTAGAGGAATTCAAAGAAGAAATTGGAGATAACTTTTTATTCAATGATAGAGTGAGCAGTTTCCAGCGATTCCAGCCCCGCTGGTGATACGAATCAGTCTTTGCAAGCAAGCAAGCACGTACATGTAAGCAAGGTGAGTCTTTCCAGGTTGTGAAAAAGAAAATTCCTATATCCTACGATCAGACCTATGTTCTAACAGCCTGATGAAACTATTTTCGGAGGTAAAAATTGGAAGGTTTTTATTCACCTGTGGAGGGTTTTGCCCTGGAAGTGGTCGATCCCTGGGAAGCTGTCCCTGGGGTAGTTTGGGTACACATGGTGGCCGGTACACACCATCACTGCATCAAATATCTCCGTGCTGGTGTTACCCTTTTTCTGAAAAGCCGTGAAAAAAGGCACGGTAAACATGTTACAATTAGATTCAATAGTCAATGTGGTTTTATTGGTTCTTCGCAGTTAAAAACTGAATTATAAACCAATTTACAAAACATCGATTTACTAAAAAAAATACAGGAATACATTGTAAAAAAAGTTATATAGGCACAGGATTAACAAACGTCTGTTACCATGGTAACTAGTGTTGGGTTACATCATGTTGCAATTTCATAGGAGGAGGGATTTAGACTCCTGTCACCATATATATTAATGTGTTTGAGTACGAATTAACAGAGCAGACCATATGTGAAGGTAAACATTATGCATTTGCTTTGCAAATGTTACGTTTCTAGTTGTTTGTACATCATTTGGCCCACCTCATTTGTGTAGGTGACGTCCCACTGTCCTGTCTGGGAGAAATCCTCTCTCGGCTTCACGTGGTCCACATGGTGACGGAATCTTCATTAACAAACAAAATCATAGATCTGTTAAGTAAAAAAAAATAAATCAAAAGGTATCCGCAAAAACTGATTGCGTAGCGGCAGAGTGCTCGACTCGAAATCAAGAGGTCCCGGGTTGGAGTCCTGACATGCCACCGATCTTGTGCCCTTTGGAAAGGCACTTTACACGACTTTCCTCACTTCGCTCAAGTGAAAATGAGTATTGTACTGTCCCTGTGTTGGTGGTGGCATTAATATAAGTTGAAAAAAAAACTTGAGTGTGCCGTCACCACGTCTTGTGATAAGATGTTGGAATATATGAAAAGTGTATATGAGTTGAATGAGATCGTACTTTTAAATCGCAAAAAAACATGACCTTACAGCCTCGTTCAGTCAAGGACGTTACTGGTATATAAAGTCCTTTGTTCAGTCAAACACAGAGAACAATCTAACTGGGGAAAAGACCATGTCACCATAACCTGAAGCAGAACAACATCTAATACGTATGTCAACAGCATAACTTCGTTGTTAGGTTCTTTAGTAATTCCTTTATGACATATTCGACATATATAACTACTTCGACCTTGTTGAAAAGCGGCCTTGCGCCGAACAAGCATTCGAAGGAAAATAAAGGCTTTGACTTGACTTGACTTGACTTGACTTCATGCCAGTGTTGATGCTTGCCTATAATCCGGCCGATACGTGCAACGTGCAGGGTCCTGTTTATTTGCCGATGACGTGTGAGATATTTGCTGGGGATCAGTCTGTACATCCTTGAACTTTATTGCATGTCAATGCCCGTAATGGGCCTAATACACTAAGTTACATAACTGAGGTATAAGGGTAGGTGGAACAAATGGTACATTACTGTGTTACGTCTATACCCAAATGTTTCGCAATATCCACGTTATCTTGTGGGGTCGTGTAGCGTAAAGGCAGAGCGTTGGGCTCGTAACCAAGAGGTCCCGGACCCGCGTTCGAACCCTGCCATGTCACCGATCTTGTACCCTTAGAAATGGTATTTTATACGACTTTCCTGGATGGAGGCCTTGTGAACCCCATCTCGTATTAGCCACAAAAGGCAACAGGATCATCAGCTAGTCGAAGGCATCAGCTAGAAGAAGAAGCTCTTTCTTTACTGCTTGGCTGAGCAAGTTTTGGCAGTCGCCTGCACCAGACGGATACGAATACAGACCAGTCTGGGGTCAGACGACCTTAACCTTACAGCTGCAGAGCCCATTCATTGACAGACGTTGGATACGAATCGTATCATCATACCCAAATCTTTCGCAATATCCGCGTTATCTTGCTTTACTGCTTGGCTGACCATGTTTAGATGTCTCGTCAAGTGAAGACAATTTTTTCCCAAAAGGAAACAACAGTTAGACAAGTCAAGGCTAACCTCCAAGCAGATCCCTTTCGGTGGCAAGACAATATCCATTAGCCAGAGTAGTTTGTACGGCCACCAAAAGGGATCGGCTTGAAGTTTAAGTCAAGACAAAGATGGTGCAATTCGTCAAGTATAGTAGCTGCTTTTCTGACAACTCCCCAGTGTCACTGACGAAAGGTAGTGGACGCTACCTGAAACGTCTGACTATTTCCAAAATCATATCCAGTTGCTCGAGTAACTGTTTTTTTGCGTATCTCATTACCTGATGTGCTTGATGAGTCCGAAGTTGTCCGCGTACAGCCGGAAGTACTTGATGACCCAGGAGTGGTGCATGAAGTTTGGGTACTCCTTGGGGATCGGGAAGTCGCTGTAGGACGACATCTCCTTACTGGTGTTGATGACCTGAGAGAGGGGGGGGGAGAGACACAGAGAGACAGAGAGAGAGACACACAGAGAGAGAGACACACACACACACACACAGAGACAGAGAGACAGAGAGAGACACAGAGAGAGAGACACACACACAGAGAGAGACAGAGAGAGAGACACACAGAGAGAGACACACACACACACACAGAGACAGAGAGACAGAGAGAGACACAGAGAGAGAGACACACACACACACAGAGAGAGACAGAGAGACAGAGAGACAGAGAGCGACAGAGAGAGACACACACACACACACACACACACAGAGAGACAGAGAGAGACAGAGAGAGAGAGACACACACACACAGAGACAGAGAGAGACAGAGACAGGGAGAGAGAGAGAATGGTTTATTCGCAACCTTTACAAAATACACTTCAAACAGTTCACAGCTGTCACACATAGGCAGTTAATTCGATTTAGCTGAATTGGGTGTGACAAAACATAGAAACAATTAGTTATACATTACAACAATAAAATCATCTTAAATACGAGCTAGCTAAAAACTGTATATATTTATAAGACTCTTGTTAAAAATTACGTTGTGGCATCAGACTTAATTCATCACAATTATGCCCAATCAATTCGTGGGGTCGGCAGAGTGCGCGACTCGGAACCAAGAGGTCCCGGGTTCGAGTCCTGACATGCCACCGATCTTGTACCCCTGGGAAAGGCACTTAACACGACTTTCCTCACTTCGCTCAGGTGTAAATGAGAATTGTCCTGTCCTATATTTGTCCCCTGTGTTGGTGGCGGCATTAATATAAGTTGAAAAAACTTGAGTGTGCCGTCACCACGTCTGGTGATTACATGTTGGAATAAAAAAAATACCCAATCGTACCGTGGATCGGTAGACGCTGGCGAAGCCGGGCAGGGCGTCTTCCCTGAAGTTCCACAGCCCGCCGATGTCTGTTCCCTTCTCGAAGCAGACGGGTTGCAGTCCTTCGTCAAGGCAGCACTTCATTGCCGCCAGCCCGCTGGCTCCCGACCCGATCACTGCAACTTTCTTCGCCATTTCTTCTGCCCGTCTAGACGCTTCTGTCTATAGAGTAAAGAGACTCTTTTTTACACAACCAAGTCTTTTATTCAGCCGACGTTTCGGTGACCGTCTGTCACCTTCCTTCCTCAAGTATGTGATTACATATGTGTAGATGTGGTTACAGGGAACTATTACTCTGGTTAAATAAATAAAAGCCAAAAGCCCAACTGTGTCTACAATGCCATGAGGAAGGTGACAGACGGTCGCCAAAACGTCGGCTGAATAAAACACTTGATTGTGTAAAAATAGTCTCTTTACTCAGTGACTTACCAACCTGATGAAGCTATTCACGGCTTCTGGCTATAGCCTGACAGGCTGAATAAAAGTTCTAAACAGGAACTATGCGGCTCCAGATGTCTTACTGAGGGACGACTGCGTGTGCAAGATGTCGGTTAGCTTGAGGAATGAATTCTCTCTACTACTACTAGATTCTAGACTCCCTCTGGCTATAGAACCAGTCAGAACAGGATCTGCGAAGTAGGAGGTCAGGTGACAGCATGATACTAGTAGTCCGTACGGATTAAGATTAAGCTGACGTTAGCGCGAAAAGAGAATTAAAATGGGTGCATTCCGGTTTGCACCTAAACAACCATTTGCACAAGCGCGACATATTAACAAAAATCCGTAAGACATAATCCTCTATGAAGTAATTATGTTGTTTGCGATGTTAATTAGCAGGAAATCCTGTCCTGTTAGATTTGGTCCGCTCCCAACGTTGCTACCCAGCTAACACATTTTTTATTCCCCAATAACGTTACATAACACAACAAAACAGTAGCAATAACAGTGCGGCGCTGCACTCAAGTTTATAACTTATTTTTACATCGCCACACAACAAAATAAAAAACATATACATACACAGAGTTGACATAACAGTGCAGTGCACTGAAGTCCCACCACCCCAAGACATTAAATCTGTATCTGTATAGCCGGTATAACCGCCTTTCGGCGTAACACACCAGCTACTAGTATTAAATGATACTAATGCTAAACAGGTTATAAAAAAGTTATTGAACAGGAGTAATTTCTATGGCTGATTGACGAGAAAAAATGTCGCCGTCAATCTAAGAATTACCTTCTATGTTAACCTTCTATATCTGTTTGGGGGGGGGGCATATCCACCAATCAGAGGTAGACATTGCAGTTTGGCTAAGGTGTTTGATACCCACTTTAACTGCCGACATGCCAAATTTCAGACTAATCCATCTCTATCTGTATCAGTATAGACGACGTAACACACCAGCTTCGCAGGCACGTGGCGCGGCGGCAGCTAGCTACATTGCACCGAACGACCTGTTACACCCAATTCTTGTCTCACCACCTGTTACACTCAACTCTCAAAACTTGTTGTTTAAAGCTTTCTAGTGATGATGCCCCACTATGCTTGGTGATAGTTCTTAGAAAATACGAGTTATTGAACACTTCAATTCTTGGTTGATAACCCTGATATTTAAAGGCATGGCTAGTACTGTTTCTTGACAGTCTTTTTCTTTTTTGGGCTTTCTATAGTATCAAAGGGGATCTTGATTTATAAGAGCGAAGGAGTGACTGCAGTTCATCAAGTAGAGGATAGAGGGCAGTTCGAGCAAGCCTAACCTCTGTCCCCGTTCTCTCATCACGGCCCTATGATCTACTTACAAACTACCACATGTACAGAATTTTTGTGGATTTCCTGTTTTATTCATTACTGTGAATTTACAGCAGATCCTGTCTAAAAGTATTTTTTAATGTACACTGGCTCTTATATTAAAGGCTTGACCACATTAAGGTAACCATTGAGCATTTGTCGGTGAAGGTTAGTCATCCAGGTAATAAGATACGCCAAAAACAGTTGCTCAAGCAACTGGATATGATTTTGGAAACGGTCAGACGTTTCAGGTAGCATCCACTACTTTTCGTCAGTGACACTAGAGAACAGGTTTTTAAGCAAGAACCAACACAACACAACACAACACAACACAACACAACACAACACAACACAACACAACACAACACAACACAACACAACACAACACAACACAACACAACACAACACAACACAACACAACACAACACAACACAACACAACACAACATAACACAACACAAAGCAATAGTTCTTGCTTATAAACCTGCATTTCTGCACATGTTCTCTAGTGTCACTGACGAAAGGTAGTGGGTGCTACCTGAAACGTCTGACCGTTTCCAAAATCATATTCAATTGCTTGAGTAACAGTATTTTGTCGTGCATTATGCATTTGCTTTGCAAATGTTACCTTTCACGTTAAACACCGTTTTGCATTAGCGATGCCTAATGGCGCCCGGTTCCTGTCCAGCCCTCTCCAACTTCAATTGATACCTTGAAGAGCACTTTCCACCGTTTGAAGAGGATTGTCAAGTGAGCCCTTAATGGCCATGACGTCACAGTCCGCCCTTTTTTTTACCCACGTAGGACCCGGTGGCCACAGGCAGTAATTACTACGTAGTGCTCCCGTGGGCCCGCGACCGCACTAATAATTTATGGCGAATTCTGTATAGCTGGGAAATATATGGTAGGACCGTGACGTTTTGTGGAAATTGTAGGTACAATATTGATGTGGATTGTTTGCTTGAATTTTATGGCTTTTTACAAGTGCTGTTTTTCCCACAGTCTCATTCATGTTCAGTCCTTACTGTAAACATCCAAGTGCTGCATGTGCTTTTATATTTATTGGTACATGTGTTGTCCCATGTGTAATCTTTAGAAAAAGGTTTTTAAGATCTCCTGTCAAAGGTTTACATGAAACAGCTCTCAGATGTTCTAACAAAAGCGCGCGTGCTCGCTTTCACGTAATACCATAAAGTATTCGACTGACATATATAGGTTACAACCAACGCAAGATATGGAGGATAGACGTTAAAAAGAAAGAAGGAAGAAAGATGTAAGATACATGTACGTTGGTAACGCTTTCATGAAGATTTCATATAGGTGTAAATATTTTCTTCACATAATTTTTGGCATCTTTAGTAGTAGTAGAATGGTTTATTTCAATTTGAAACTCAAACGTACACAATTCGCACTGACGACAGACTCGCAGGCAACCATACTGGATGCCTGAATTGCTCTGTGGTCAACACAAAATGTCATTAAAATATACTATCAAAATGTATTATTGTTAAAAACATTATTGCACATTATTACACATTGTTAAAATTTATATAATCATCAAATATTCCTCTGCTTTAGTAAATGGTTTGACAGTCAATATGCATATTTCAAAACGTTACATTATGCAGTAAAAACAGTTCGGTGAGAAAGTGTATATAAAGTGTATATAGCATCATTCAAATGTGGGTCATTCGTGTTTTTGTCAGACTCCATAAATTAAATGAGAAAGAATTAAAGATGTGACAATACGACAATGGTTGCAGCTATCATTTAGATACATCTCAGTCTTTGTCTTATGATACAGGCTTAGGGAGGCGTTCAGAAAGGTATGAATAATTTAGTACGAGATTTGTCGGAAACGCTTTCAGTAATACCAGTACGTCAATGAAGGTTAGACATCCAGGTTATGAGATATCTGTTTCTGTATCTGTATAGCCGGTATAACCACCCCTCAGCGTAACACACCAGCTTCTGTATCTGTATAGCCGGTATAACCACCCTTCGGCGTAACACACCACCTTCGCAGGCACGCGGCGCGGCGGCAGCTAGTTATATCACACCGAGCGACTTGTTACACTCAATCTTTGCACATTCAACTGCAGGAGTTGCTTAAAGCTTTCTAGTGATGATGCACCAACTGTGCTTGGTGGCAACGAGTTCCAGTCTACGATAGTTCCAGGTTATGAGATACACAAGGAAACTGTTACTCAAGCAACTGGTTGTGAAGAATGGCAGACATTTCCAGGTGCATCCGCTACTTTTAGTCAGTCAGAAAACTTAGTGAATGAAACGCTCAGCCCAAGCCAAGCCAAAAATTAAAGCTCGCGCCCGGCTTCTCATAACCTCCTTCGAATAATCTCCAAGCAGATCCTATGGTGGCAAAAGACAGTATCGAATTGGCCAGGCAGTATCCATTGGCCAGAGAGGGTCCAATGCGCCACCCAAGGTGACAATCTGCAGATCCTTAGGTGGCGTATTGGACCCTCTCTGGCAAATGGATACTGCCTGGCCAATTCGATACTGTCTTTTGCCACCAAGGATCTGCTTGGAGATTATCCTTCGCAGACGCGCCGGCGACGTTTGTGGCATAACTCCTCCCAAGAAAAAAAATCAACGCCTCCGCACAAGTCTGCGAAGGAGACTAGCTGCTCACATGTCCCGATTCGTGACCACAATCTTTTAGTTTGCTCTTGATCATGAGCGAGTTATGGTATCACTTCGGCAAGGTGTGTGGTACTACAGTACAGTACACGTGCACGTGCACGTGCTTAGCCGTGACAATACACGCGCGTCTTACTATTTACTAGTACCTTTTAGCTCTCGGACACAAAATCCGTCTTAATTTTAGAATCACTTCAGTCAAACATCACAAAAGCGATGACGTGCCGCAGGTCTTACATAAAACCGCCTAGGGCATTAGGCCACACTGACATAATTTTATGGATGACATCCTCTGAAGACCCCAGAAGTAATGCGAGCGCGCGAATAAAAAAAGTCCAGACAAAAAAATGCTGCTAGCGCTAAACCACTGGAATACAAAGCTAGTATGACAAATCGTTTGCGGTTGTACATGACTACTTTTACAACAAGTCGGCACATGCTGGTCTTTTGCAGCATTTATGAGTCGGCACCGTACTGAGTTCTAGAGTTCTGTAAAGGTTCGGTAGCCTGGGTGCCATCCTCCGTAGTTACCGCCGCCTCCCTATGCTATGATGGTAGCGTTGATGGCACATAGGCTTCAGCTAGCCTTCGTAGCAGGCTTATAGAACTGGGGTTTGGTGGTCTTCAGCTGTTTTCTGATTAGCCCAGTTCTAACACGGGGGTAATTCAACCAGGCCGGCTATGTTGTCTATATGCAATCAGAAAATAGCACATAATAGCTCCCAAAGACCATGACTGAGACCCCCAAACCCCCAGTTTTTGGCATGCTATGGAGGCTAGGCTTCAGCCTCGGAGTTTGTTTTTTTGGGAACAGGCGAAACTAAATGCGCGCGTTGATGTCATCCATGAGATTAAATCAGTGTGGCCTAAGTATAACAGGTGGCGGTGAGCCGTTGAGCTGCTTCTAATGCTGACGTCAGCAGCGCACGTCAGCCGGACCGTTTTTGGAATGACGCACGTAAACCGGCCTTCCCGAACAATTGCTTCCTCTTCTATCTCTGTAATTTACATGTCTGCCTTGACAGTCAAGGACTAAATGATCTCCCACCGGAGTTTCCTCATTATTTTGTCAACATTTCATTTTTCCTAGCATCTATATAGTCTCCACCACCAGACTCCTTTGCAGGCCGGATAAATAGTAGAATCGGCCTAAAAAGAATGTAGCTGACCAGGGGAGTTGGCCGGCCATAGAGGGTTCAATTTGCCTGCAACTTCCCTGGCCAGCTACTTTCTTTTTAGGCCGATTTCTACTATTTATTCAACCTGCAAAGGAGTCTGGTGGTGACTAGCATCTACAGGTTTCGAGAAGCGGCCAGAAATTTTCCAAATAGAAAGATAGCATGCCAGGGGAGTTGGTCCACTTAAGAGTACAGTATGCCGCTCCCGAAGCCTGGTAGAGGCTAATTCTTTACCCGGTTGCTTGCTCGCATACAAAACAGGCTAAGTGTATCCTGTGCTTCAAGTATAGTTTATTAATTGCATATAACATAACATACACATAAACACAAACAAAAAGACAGAGAAAAACATACTAATCTTAATTTCTCCGTTTGAATATAACGGCCATAACAGGTGCTTTTAAAGACACTAGCAATTTTTCGTGCTGCTTTCTGGGATGTTGTGGCTTATACAAATGTCGACTTCGCGTGTACATACGGACAAGACGTGACCGTTCAGCTTAAATAATTCATAAGACACTTCACCTGCGGAGTGTGTTCTTTTAGAAGCAACTCTTCTGGGTAATTATCGAAAGGGAAGTTTATTACGTCAAGTTCTGCGGCGCATCGTAAATATATGAGAATGATAATGGCGACATCAAGACGTCTAATTCATAATTCATTACGAGTTACAATCGTGCAGATTAAAGGTACGACTTTGATATTGTACAAAGTTGACAACATTAAATTTAGAATGCAATCGTGCATGTTTCTCGTATACTAGTATGGGGAGGGGGGCGATGAGGTTAGAAATTTGTCCCCTGGTGGCGAAATCACAGTGGCTCCGGTTACGAGAAAATGTCTTTGGCACAAATTTCGGAAAAGGAGAGACAAATGCTAGAAAGGTACTTTTTCTTATTTGCCTTTGCCTGAAATTGCAATGCATTGCAAACAACGTACAAATCTAAAGGCTTGGTACAACAATTGACATTTCTTCTTTCTGTCAAAGATATTTAGACAAGTTAGTGACAACCTTATTAAACTATATACACTTTCTCTGAATGAGACAAGCAAGAGCCTCCTATAGCTCTGCCGTCTTTCGTCGCCCTGTCGAAATATGTCAAGTAAAATATGTCAAGTCGGCGGAAACCATCAAAGAAAAGATCGCTACTCCCCAACCCGGAGAAGTTATTTGCGGAACTGTGCGCCCGTGTTATGTAAACCTGGTCACATTCTACAGGAAGCAGGCAGGGCGACATGCTTGACATATCATCCCAGGGGAAAATATTCTCTCTCCAGAGATGACCCTGACGATATGGAATCACGCGACAAGAAAATAAATTAATGTAAAATGAAGGAGCCATAACGTTGTTCAAATATAGAGAACGTATATTGCAAATTCATGCCCGAGGGCTAATTGCATGAACCAAGGAAATTTTAATTTTTTATGGTCGATTTTACTGTTTACTATTATTTTACTAGTACTTAAAAGTACTAGTAAAATAATAGTAAACAGTAAAATCGACCATAAAACTAGTAACATATGGGTGTTCTTTATAGATTCATCTTTTTTGTCCTATAAGCACGGTGTTAGTGCTTGCAAGGAGGTTAAAAAAAGTAATCTCCTTGGTGCTTGTCCGTGGGTCGCAAAATGTACCCTCTCTGCCCGGCTATCTCCCTTGGTATACTATTCCCTTTATTTTGGCCAATTTCTACTTTTTTTCCAGCGACCCGCGGTGCCTGGTAGAGGCTACGGTGCAAGGACAGGTGTGCATGTGTGTGGCATAACCCTTCAGTACTCTTCTCTTCTCTTCCAAACCATTTCAATCATCTTCGCAATTAAACTCATTTTTCTTGGTCTGCCAATTTCCGCGAAAATTGAAATCGATACCACTTTTTTCTGGTAATGACTCGGAACAAAACGCCGGCGGCTTCAGTCAGTGGGCGGCATGGTTGTAATTTTATCGTACGGAAAAGCAAATCAACTGTTAAAACTACCCTGTTCACAAAAATAGGACTTGAGTGTAGTCTACATATATACCTAGTACCGAATTTCAGTTAGAGTCTAAATTTAGCCAATGGGGGGTTTAAGTTCAGAATCGTCTCGCATTCGTGACTATACAAGTGGTAATTAGTCAAAGCATTGTAGACACTGTTCTTTTTGTGCTAGGAACAAAACGAAGCCCAAAATACAGATTATGTTTCCATACATATACAACAAGTCCAAAATCGTTGTCCATTCGTGACTATATTACTACATTTTATCAAAGCATTGTAGACACTGTTTTTGTCCTAAAAACAAAACGAAGCCTAAAATGCAGATGGTGTTTCCATGCATATATAGGACAAGACGTGTGCATGTATATATACATTGCATAACAAGTAGTTGTAAGCCTTCTCAATCTAAAACAGGCACGCACTCTCCTTGATTACACCCAGGCCCTGTTGACCGGATACGAATATTACGAACGTCAGCTACCATCTATAAATCGATCGTTCTACTGATTGTGTACATGAAAGTGGTGGTTTATCTGCGTAAACTCTCTTCATTCCACGTCATACGGTTATCAGTTGTGGCCGTCTCTCTAAGTCTTAGACCAGCTACATGTAGCCTCCACCAGGCCTGCTACGGGAATACAGATCGTAGAATTCGGCAAAAAAGAGAGTAAAATTGGCCAAGGGAATCCGGCCGCGGGGAGGTAGTTTCTTTCCCTCCTGCGCGGCCTGTCAAACCTACAAGGCGGCAAAACTCCCCTGGCAAATATTCTCCTATATATAGCCAGCGTAGTTAGTCTGGTAGAGACTAGTCCCTCTAAGTCTTAGACCAGCTATACACTGGGTTCAGACTGACGTAAAACCAAACATATCAAGTTCCACGCCGGGTTTCTTCTCAACCGAACCGTTAACGTTGCGTTGCGACGCCACGCTAGCTCTCGATCCCTGGGTAATCGGCGCAGAGGAACCTGGGTAAGAGATTACTACGTGACGTTGTGTTTTAGCTAAGACCTGTCAGTAAGCCGGTAAGAAACCTCGACGGCGAGACACGCGTACTGAAATCTCGCTCAGGCTATTGTTGGGACTAGACATTGCGTGCGGCATTAAGAAGAGGTGGGGGTCAACCAGAGGTGGTGCGTTGAGTACGTGTTAAGGACGCTCCACTAGTCCGTGAAGAGGCGAGGCACCAGTCGAGGTGTTGCCGGTAAACATTAGACCCGACATGAAGCCCGTAATGACCGGTGAGAGCGGGCGGCTACAGTGGGACAAGGCGCCGAAGACTGCGGTGGAGACGCACGCAGAAGGCAAGCTCGCAGCCTGCTTGGATCTAGGAAACAGCGAGGATTACAAACCGCTGTACGTGTTGACTAAAGCGGGCGTGCCGACGGGCGTTCGCCTGAGTTCCCTGCTGGAATCTCCCGGTGAAGAAACCGAGCTTACCGACAAGCTGAATGCGCAGGAGACCGAGACCGAACTGTTCCACCTCGACGTCAAATCGTCGGCCTCCTGGTGGGGGCGGATGCGCTCTAAATTCAAGTCGAACTCCTCCCGACCTAAAGACGCGGGTGCCCGGGAACAGGGGCTGTACCTGGTGCTAAAAAACTCCCGCGTGGAGAGTCTAGAAGAGGAGACGATACGGAAATACCTGGCGGGTAAGAGCGTACATGTGGAGTCGGCCGGCGTGCACGATCTGAACGGGGAATTCTTGGTCGTCTCTGTAGCGTGGACAGCCGAGGACGTGCGGGCGGTGGTCAAGACTCAGGAGCCCGTTGTTGCCTCCGCCTCCGAACCATCAGACGATAGAAACGAGGAGGAAGAAGTCCCCTCTACGGAGACAGAGCAAGTTATCGAGACCTACAGCACTTCTCCTTGTACTGTGGCGTTTGGTAGCGTGGTGGTGAAGTATAACAAGGACACAGGATGTATTTTTGCTAGTGGAAGCCCGCACACTCACAAAACCAAGAAGGAAGCACCCAGCCCCAAGGAAAGTTCCAAATCTCCTTCAAAATCTTCTTCTTCGAGATCGTTCAGGGACAGATTCAAACGGAGGAGTTCCAGTATTTCTGTGGAGTGGAGCGAGGATCTGGAAAGAAGGGGCGGTACAGGGGGGAAGCTTAAATCGTCCGGGTCCTGGGTGGACGAGAGCGAACTCGAAACCATCGAAGGGTAGAAAATACATGCCTCACAACAACATTTCAAATTCAAGGATTGTTAGGGTATTTTCTATACCTACCGTTGACCTAATTTATGGACGTTTCAGTGAGCCTTGAAGCTCTTGACACAGTTTGTGTAAAATACGGATGTCAGGGTTCGGATTCGTGTGTACACAGTCAAGCATACCGTGATTTCACCAGCTATGTTGTTGCAGCTAGAACACTTTTGGAGTAACACAAGCGATGAACGCATGTGAAATGTTCAGGTGAGGTAGCCTCCGTAGCAGGCTTATAGAACTGGGGGTTTGGTGGTCTTCGGCTGTTTATTGATTAGCCCAGTTCTAAAAAAGGGGGTAATTCAACCAGGCCGGCAATGTTGTCTATATGCAATCAGAAAATAGCACATAAAAGCTCCCAAAGACCTAGAAGACCCCCAGTTTTTGGCATCCTATGGAGGCTACAGGTGAGGAATGACCATATATCCACTGACTCTCCTGTGAATTGGAACGTGTTCTTATTAACATGAAGTTTCCGGTCCTGCACGTAAACATGCAGGCTTCCCCATAGACTCATTATCGTTCCTGAGGTCCTGTTCAAATAACATCCTCCAGTGGAAACCTATCAAATCGATCGAACGAAAAGAGCCAATCTTTGAGCGCACCTGATCCTGTATGACAGCCATAAGGAATTCATGCTGTTTGTCTTCATCAGTATTATTAATGTATCGCTGTCAGATCTCATTAATATTGTCATTAATATGAGTGTTATTTGGGTTGTGTAGGATTTTTATGTGTTGTATATGTTGAGCAGCTATCATGATAGTAGAAACCGTTACGTTATGTACTGAGGAAGGTAGCTATGGAATTAAACCAAAACGTCGGCATGTATGCAAAACTTGGGGTTGCGTGGCAAAATAACTTGATACAAAAATACCATGATGTTTGTTTCCTGTCTGTTTTTGCAAACGTTGAATACACAGAACCGCCACCAACAATGCTCTCTCTACTCACGTAGAGATTTTGCTGGTCAGAAATATGTAAAATTTGTCATTTTCATACGAACGGTTGACGTGAATGTCAAGGGGGTACGGTATGCCGGAGCCCCATGCAGTTAAATTCGCCGTATAGAGTTCCTTTCTCCCAATTCTGGTCTCCTGGTAACCACGCCACCATGAAAGACCTACACCCCATCAGGCGGCTGGAAACAAAATACTGAGAACAATTGGCACAACGTTCACCGATACCACACGCCGAAACAAAACCCTCAACAAACATTCCCCTTCTTTTGTACCCGCCACCCTCCTTGGCTATTCAATTCAAGTTTTGCGAACCGATTTATTAACTTGTCACCGTGCAATAACTTATATATCGTACGAGTTTATTTATGGGCATAGACCCACCGTGGTTTCTTGAAACGAGCTCGCTGTACTTCTTTTTTCGAGCGAAGGTTTTTGTTATATAACATGGTTGAATAAAGTTTGTGTATGAATATTGTATGTTCTGAGGCGCACCTTTTTGACCTTTCTGTCATTCTATATAGCCATTTGGGTAAATATTATTGCCCTGTCGCTAGGATACGACCTTTCTTGTGACGAGCTTGTACTGAAATAATAACGGAGGCGACATTTAACGCAGACGTAGTGTTCCCATACGGGAAGGCTAATTACTTAAGGCCCTTCCGTTAGTCGGCGATCGCTGGGCCACCATTCAGCTAGTCTCCACCAGACTCCTTTGCAGGCTAAATAAATACAATGTAGTAGAAATCAGCCTAAAAAGACTGTATGATGTATATATATATATATTATATACGTAGCTGGCCAGGGGAGTTGGCCGGCCATAGAGGGTCCTATATGCAGGCAAACTGGACCCTCTATCTCCCCTGGCCAGCTACATTCTTTTAAGGCAGATTTCTACTATTTATTCAGCCTGCAAAGGAGTCTGGTGGAGACTACCATTGAGCAACGAAAATGGGATATGTGTGAACCCTGCCTTTATAATTGATATGTACGATGCAAAAGTATATTTAAACCACGGCAAAACACACAACACGTAAAAAACATCCTTTGTCATGTGAAATCCGTTAAGCAGTCTGCCAAATCCTTAGCACACAAAGTACAAGGCATAGTGTAGTAGTGCAGTATATATAGATGCTTGTTATAGCTACTCTCCAAGCAGAGGTTTGGGTTTTGGGTTATTTTTGCCGTGGTTTTAGAATTTTTTATCCGAGTTTCTTTCTTGCACTGGAATTTTTCTTTCGCCCAACCCCATTTGGTAACTTAGCGGTCGTTGCCTCTGGTGGAAAGGGGGGGGGGTGTTAATAGAGATTTCCGATTAATTGATTCAGAAGGCACAAGGGTGGCTATTTAACCACCGCAGAGAACATATCTCTTATTGTCGTTATTTGTGGTCGGAATTATTGATTTGTCATAATTCTCATTAGTATCATAGAACCATACACCCAAGGGACCGCTGTGCTATCAGTTTCACCCAAGGACGATTTGAAAAAAAACAACAACGCAAAGCTTCTTTAGTTCATACATGTAACGTTACATAAGATTGTAGAGAATTGCGCTCACATGCACGTATACACATACACATATACATATACAAAAACATGCATACAAACACACACACCAACACAAACACACGGGCTTGCACCCATACATTCACACACAAATATACAAACATGCACACTTGTAAACACACACAAAAGCAGCGTATTTGATATTAATAATTTCCTTACGCCGCATGACGTCTCTTTCACATAATGTATTCTATTAAAAAACTTCAAACTGGGGGCACGCACTTTCGCGGCATTCATATGTGGGAGTAAACTGCTTTGGTCAATAAAAACATGCGCAATGTTCGGTGTATAGTGGTGTATTTACAAGTGTCCGCCAACAAGCACCAATAGAGTTAGACCTAAAACCACCTGGAGAAGAACTGTGTCAGAAGACCTGGCGTCTATGGGACTGTCCTGGCGATCAGTGAAGAAGGTGGCCGAAGACAGACCCAGATGGAAGAGAAAAGTCATGGCCTTATGTCTCGCAATAAATTAAGGGATGGAGAGGATAAATAAGTAAGGCCACACCGACTTAATTCTATGGATGACATCCGCGCGCGCATTGATTTTCACCTGTTCTCAAAAAAAAAAAAAAAAAGATCACGCTCTAGGCCTCTAGACCAAGAAATCTTTAATCATTACCCTACAAGAATGAGAATGAATGGTAGTTAGTGACAATACGGAGCCAGTTGTAACTCTGGATGGGATGGCAACCAGGCTACCGAACAACGGCAAGAATTCGAACCCGTGCCGATTAATAAATTCCGCAAAAAGCCAGCATGTGTCGGCTTGGCGTATACGTCGCTATGTACTGCCGCAAATTCACAATACCAGCTTTGTATTCCTGTGGTTTGGTAGCATTTTTTTTTTAATTTTTGGCCGGATTTTTTAAATTCACCCGCGCGCACTAGTTTGGGGGTCTTCAGAGGATATCATCCATAAAATTAAGTCGGTGTGACTTGAGGAAGCCAACAGCACCGTGCTCAGAGTTTCCACAGACCTCCCTGAATAGAACCTCCCTGAGGCCTCCTTGCGGATTAAATACGCACTGCAGCATGCAACGCTACTTTGTGGTGCATTCTCATTCTTGTAGGGTAATGATTAAAGATTTCTTGGTCTAAAACAATGTCTATCCAAGGAGGTTTAAAAAGGTTTTAAACGTCCTTGGTCTATCAAATGGCATAGACGTCAAGAGACTTATTTTATTATGTCCCGTGCCGTGGCGTCATTTTAACAACATGTCATTTTCACGCCCCCACTAGTAGCCTCTTGTACAGGCCTCCGGGTGGGTGGGAGTTTTGATACTGCGTATGTAGAATTTTTAACGCATTCTTTTGCCGGCCATCCTACAACCAGCCGCCCAGACAGGTACAAACCTTATCTGGGCGGCTGGTTGTAGGATGGCCGGCAGAAGAACGCCTTAAAAATTCTACAAAACGCAGTATCAAAACTCCCACCCACCCGGAGGCCTGCACAGGAGGCTTGGAGCTTAGCAGGTCAGGTGACTACGGTCTCTTTTTCACCTTCTTCGTTTCTGACGTCATAATCGTATTCACAACTGTGAAAGTTTGAGATGAGTTTGGGTGGTCACGCACATCCCGCGTCCCTCAATCTTGTCAGTTTTTTCACAGCCGTGAAAGTCGACGTCATCTGATGACACGATGTTCGGTTTTCTCTTGATCAACGCTGTCTTCCTGCTACAGATTGTAGCCAGACTCTTTGGCGTTCTGAAGAGAGGTGAGCAAAAGTTTATACTTCCATTCATATCAGACCAGTTCTGTCACCTAAGACAAGTACATACCAGGCTAGCATCCGTAGCAGGCTTATAGATCATATAGAACTGGGGGTTTGGTGGTCTTCGGCTGTTTTCTGATTAGCCCAGTTCAAAAAACGGGGGTAATTCAACCAGACCGGCTATGTTATCTATATGCAATCAGAAAATAGCACATAAAGCTCCCAAAGACCCTGAAGACCCCAAAACCCCCAGTTTTTGGCATGCTATGGAGGCTAATACCGGGCTCTGTAACCATGATGTTCTAAGAACGGTCCACACTAGCCTCTACCGGGCGTCGGGAAGCGGCTGGAAAGAGTAGAAATATTGGCCAAATATAGACAGATAACATGCCAGGGGAGTTGGTCCGCTAGGGGGTACATTTGTCGCCTCCTTAGCAAGATCTTGGAGGCTGGTTAGGTCCACACCCTCCACGCTGTAACAGAGGATGTACCAAGATACATATCGTCTTCATCGTCTTTAAAACCAAAGATAAAACCAAGGATCATTTTGATAACATATATCTTTTTTTTTTATTCCAACGTATAATCACAAGACGTGGTGACGGCACACTCAATTTTTTTTTCAACTTATATTAATGCCGCCACCAACACAGGGGACAAATACATGACAATACTCATTTACACCTGAGCTAAGTGAGGAAAGCCGTGTAAAGGCCTTTCCCAAGGGCTCTCTGTTACGGTTATACGACTATATAGCATATTGAAGAGTAAAGGGGACTCGACTTGCTTATGGTTGTACAAAGGCTGACGTTGACGATTACTTTAAAAAAACATAGACCCATGACACGTTAATTCCTTTGTTTTAGAACGTCACAAAGTCACGGGTCGAATGTCAAATGTCCTTGGATACTTTTTTGTGACGTCACTATTGTCCTAGCAGTAGTCGAAAATTCCGAAATCCGGTCAGACGTATGAGTTTGGCCGCTCTGATTCGGCTCGTGTTTTCGACTGTAAAATTGACATTAGTCCAGACGACATGTTTGGGATTTTGTTGCAGTTCAGTCTGTTGCTTTTCCGACTGGTAGTCAGGATTGTAGGCTCCGTCAGGAAAGGTGAGATAGAGGTGTTCCTTCACTTCAAATCAGACCGGTCTCTGTCCACCCCGTTCGATAGTAACGTTATGTGTATTGCAGCCAGCGATGTTCTAAGAACAGGGTTGGTATTACAGTTAGGGTTAATAGAGTTGGGATCATTGTTCAAGGCTAGGGTTAGACTTACGATTGGGGTTAGGTTAGGTTTAGTCTCCCACATCACGACTAAACCCCTCCCACCCACTCCTTGTCTCAGGTATATTGGAAATCCACAAGTATATGGCTTGACACCGCCTCTAACCGATTCTGGTATGTTCTCTCTGCAGCCGTGAACGTGCGGTTCGTTCGCAGTGAGAAATGTGCACTGAGTGCAGTGCCGCCCCCACCCGTGGTGAGGGAGCCTAGTGCCCCTGCACAGGAGTCTGGCACATCGGTAAGGAAGAAAACAAGGTGCAGCAATGCCAATGATGAGGCTTGCGCAACAGTGAAGAAGAAACGTAGCGACTTGAACGGGCCTACCGACCCTGCTGACACGCCGAAGATCAAGGCCGCCGAGCCCGACAAACCCAGCGCCTCTGTGCGGGCTCCGACTCAGAGTACAGCCAAGGGCAAACCGAAGGCGACATTCGGTGGAATGAAGGCCGGGTTCTTGCTACAGAGCCCCAAGAAGAAGCCTCAGCCAAAGACAGAGTCAGCAGCAAAGGCAGACACCCCCAAGGCCGCGAAGGCTCCCCCCGGCCAAAGTCTGAAGAGCACTGCATCTGCGGGTCAGAAGGATCCCGCCGCCGAGGCCGCTCACCCGAAAGTAAACCCCTCATGAATTATTATCATGTCCAACTACCATATCTGCTTACGTAGGCCAATTTCTGTACACTTTATTCCATAAGCGAGAACATATCATCAATACATGACCATATGGTAACTCAGATACTGTTTAGATAGTAGTTTGTAGTAAGTAAAGTTTTGTAGTATTGTTGTATTACTGTCATACATTGTACCTTGTACGATTGTAGAGCAATAAAGTTCATTCTTCTTATTATTATATCTCAGCCCCGCCAGAAGAAGGAAGATCCTCCCCAAACCCCCAGTGCCGGAGAGAAGTTGGGCCAGAAGAAGGAAGCTCCCCAAACCCCCAGTGCCGGAGAAAAGACGGGCAAGAAGCAGGCTTCCCAACCCACAACTACTGAAGCCGCCCAGTCACCCCGCCAGTCATCCACGTCAGAGGTGAAGCATGATCATGCTTTTTCTATTACCATTACTATTAGCTATGCTTGTGCATGCGGCTTCGCTACGGCTTCTCTACAATGTCAAACAAACAATATATGATTTTTTACAGATGTATGATGCTGGCATTAACATAACAAAGTGATAGCCTGTTGTGTAATATTAGCCTGTATATATTATACTATACTAGCCTGGGTACCATCCAGATTTTCGCTCCGCCGGCGCTCGAAAAATCACTCTCCAAGCAGAGGTTGTGGGGGAATGATCGTTACATTTTTATATATAGCCGTTTTTTTGTCCTGACCCCCACCGTCGGTGGCCGCGGACCTTCTCTGGCTAATGGATACTGCCTGGCCAATTTGATACTGTCTTTTTTGCCACCGATAGGGATTTGCTTGGAGATTATCGAAAAATAGCGTTGCCGAGCGAAAATCCGAATGGTACCCAGGCTAGTATAATATATATTATTATACAATGTCCTTGCTGGTACCAGTCAGCTCAGGAGTTTTATAAGCATCATCTCTTCCCTGCAGACCATCCCCATCATCCCAGTGCTCGCTCACGTTCGTCCCATCCTGTTGCCGGTTCCAGGCACGAACCAAGCGTCGCTCATCTGGGACGGGAGCCGGAAGGCCCGTAACTTCCTGGCAATGATCATTGCAGCAAGGAGGGCTGCGGGACTCTAAATTCCCAGGATATTTGATTTTTGGGGTTTGGAAAATGGTTTTTGCAGCGCAGTTTGATTTTTTTTAGTTCCACATGTAAAGCAGTAATAGTGTCCCACAATATGCAGTTCTAGAACATCAGAACGTTTCGATTTTGGGGTTTCGGCAAGGGTTTGGAAAACATTTTTACAGCGCAGTTTGATTTTTTTTAGTCCCTCATGTAAAGCAGTAATAGTGACCCACAACTGGAAACATTTCTTACAAATATGCAGTTTTCTACATTCCGATTACGCTACGGATGTAGTCCGGTTATCTTCGGTATTCAATAAGACAAAAACCAAAAAAGTCATTTTCATAAACAGAACAGTATTACAAGTAGTTTCAACTTAGATTAGTCTTTCTCTACAAAGTCAAACAAACAGTTTTTTCATATGTTGCTTGCTGGTCCACTAACAAAACTAACAAAACAAAGTGCTTGCTGGTCCACTAACAAAACTAACAAAACAACGTGATAGCCTGTTGCATAATCAGTTCATGACTTTTTTAGCATCATCTCTTGCACATATATAGACTGTAGTATGCTACATTGTTTTTTTATGGTGACACGTAACTACGTCATTGCACATGTATACTAGCTAGCATCCGTTCACTCTTGATTTAGATGTACATATATTTACCTGAATTAATCAGGAGTCAGTAGGCGGATAGCCCTTTGTAGCTCCTATGTCCATCTTTTTCCGTATGTACTCGTTGATACATATATCTGACAAGTACTATCAAATTCTATTTGTCAATGCATTGGTTTATTTTCTCTTATTCAGCTATTGCCATCTATTTTGTGGTACATGTATCAAATAAAATGATTGAATTGTTCTTGAAAGATTTGAGTTTTTTCTCATACAAAGTACAATAGGTACATTCACATAAGTAGATGTACAATGTACATATATCAACTCTTTTGCCTGAAGTTTTGCGAGAAAAACAAAGACAAAATTAACACAGAATGATAATGTTGCACAAAAGGTCAATACTTGATTATGAGCCTTTAACATCGCAACTTCGTACAAAACTGGTTTGCCCTTTTCTATAGTGGGGTGGGCAACTAACAATTCCAGTGGTTCATCATGTTACATGATCTGTATCAGTACGGTATAGCCAGTATATAACCGCCCTTCCGTGTAACACACAAGCTTCACGGGCAAATTACAACAGGCATATTTTATATGCATATTTTTATAATACTCAGTGAAGCTAATAAAACAGTCCTCAACAACGAATAACAGCATGTCCAAGCCATAGTATTCTCGCTGCCACATGCAAGTTCTGCAATCAAGTCCATCGTACAGCAACAAAGTGTCTTCTGCTCTTCATGCCGTTGTATGGAGTCGGTGTGCTTGATAGCTTGATAGTTCGGTGTCCTCTCTCTCTCTCTCTCTCTCTACCATCGTACAGTCACAAACAAAGTGTCTTCTTCCCGTCATATGAAGTCGATGTTACTTGATAGCTCGATAGTTCCGTGTGCTCCAAAACCATCCCTACATCTTGAAGTTGATCAAGTCCACATCCCGCTATCTAGGCGGCGGCTGTCCACCAGGTGGCGGAGGCGGTGAGGGTAGGGTGCCGACTCTCGCCGTGGCGTCAGGTAAAGGCGTCGGGTCGTACCCGATCCGCTCGTGGATTTTATCGGTCTTGGTTTTAGCCGACGGCGGGGAAGATTCTCCGTTGGTTGTAGCGGCAGCGGCGCCCTCCCCCTGGCCCTGTGTTCCGAGCCCGAGTAGTTCGTTGTTCCGCTGTTTTCGACGCTCTTCTACCTCCTTTTTCACCGCTTCGAATTCGTCAAGGTCATCCAGCTTCAGCTCGATACGTGTGGGCTTCCGTTTGATCATCTTTGCGGCCACAAAATCGTCCAAAACTTTTGCCTGGACGCCAAAAAAAAATGTGAGAATTTCGTTCTCCCGCCGAAATACAGGACGACCTTTAACCTTCGTGATGGGATTTGGGCGAGATCACTAAAACTATGGGGATGTGCAAAATTTGTTCAACTAAATATCAAGTGAGAATTAACCATACAGATAATATTTGTGAGTATACAATACAGTTTTAATAGAATCATTTTTAAGAGTTTCATTTTCACCTGTTTATGTTTTTTTATGACCAAAATCACCGAATAAATGATTTCCAGCTTGCGACAGATTCACACACCTCTCAGTTGAATGGTTTATTCCACGCGTGTGAATCGTCGAAGCGGCGATTTTGCGAAAGTTTCGTGACATTTCGGCTGCGTAATCGGCGTTTTTCATCCAGAGAACGACTAGAAAAGGTGAGCCTTAAAGCTTTACTTTATTTTTTATCATCGACTTTAACGCAGACTTCTGCAAAACTCAACCGACTACCTGAAATTGTGATACAAACTGTGGCGTATTTGCCCCCCTCCCACCTTTTGTAATACCTCACGTAAGCTTGCACAATTTTTTTGTACTTCTTTCGTACTACAAAGCCCAATAACATTTGAATTATCAGCAGTTGTGCATACGTATACAAAGTGACCGGTACAAATGAACAAGGGGGAAATAAAGGTAAAGGCACTTAGGATAGTTAGGAACATAGGTACCTTGAAGAATTACCTTGTCTAATGTCTTTGATGTAGGATGTAGGCTACCTGAACTTGATTCTGCTACATGTACACTGGTGATTTGATGTGAACCACTAACTCTGGACCCTAGAATTTGGACCATGTAAGCAGGGCTTTCCCCAAGCAAATTATGAAGTAAGGGTACCGGTGCTCCCCCTCTCTCCCAAAATGTTCAAATTTAACGTTAGGGTTTTTCCTATTATTTCATGAAAAGTTGCTGCTTTTTAATCAACCAATTCGGGAGCAACTCTCCCCTCAGAATTTCTGGGGAGACCCCCTACTCTTTTTGTGGTGGGTCCTTTGTTACGTGCGTGGAGTGTGGCTCTACTAAACACGGGACCACCATTTTAACGTCCTATCCGAGGGACGTTCCTAACTGAAGCTAGGTACTCATTTACACCTGAGTGAAGTGAGGAAAGTCGTGTAAAGTGACTTTCCCAAGGCCAGGGCACAAGATCGGTGACAGGGTAGGATTTGAACTTGAACCTGAGACCTCTTGGTTCTGAGCCGAACACGCTACCGCTATGCCATATAACCCCTATACATGAATGATATCAGGTTTTGAGGGCACTTTATATGACAACCAGTTCATGTTCAAAGTTAGGCCTTCATTCCCAAAAAGATATGTGTATATTACGTCGATTACGTATTATACGCCAAAAAGCAGTTACTCAAGCAATTGGATAATGATTTTGGAAACGGTCAGACGTTTCAGCTAGTATCCACTAGCTTTCGTCAGTGACTGTTGTCGTGTACATTGTAACTGAAAAGGTCATTACGGATAAACCAAAACTTTAAGAAACTTCCTTTTTCTTCCAGAAACAGGCCAGGATGTCTGATGATGAGGATGTTCCACTGCCAGCTAAGAAGGCGAAGGTCGTCCACTTCGGCAGTCTGGAGGAGGTTGAGAGGCAGCGATTGGCCAAGCAGGAGGGTCAAGGGTCACTGGGCACTGACGCAGTGCAGGCTGGGATACTGTCGGGGAACATCAACATTTCAGAAGGTAGAGGAGAAATGCTGACAATATTGTTATGAGTATTACATATATGTATTTTTATTTCAATTCAAGACAAGCCTATAGAAAACTACATTATACATCTGATTAATCTTACTTCTAAACCCAGATAGTACAGTTTCTAGGGGTGAAATTAAGTACTTTTCTATTGTTGCAGCATAAAAAGTAATTAATTCAATGATTGCAATTTTTCAGGAGAAACTTTTGACTTGGAGGAACACCAGAGTGAGAGACAGAAAGAAGTCTTGGAGGAATTTGAAAGACGAAAAAGGGTGAGCAGAGCCACATAGACTTACTTCTCACAAACTGGGACAAGTAGAATGATACATCAACAGTTAAGTCTATTCTATAGGTTCAAGACTTGTGATTGTTGTGTTAAATTTGATTTTGAAATAATACAATACAAAATACAATGATACAACACAAAAAGTTATGTATGTGTAAATATGAAGAAAGATATCTGCATACCAAATGTATCATCATCATCATTTCTGATCTTCATTTATAGTGTGTTTTGTTTTTCCTTCCCCAGGCTAGACAAATCCACGTGTCAACTGATGATTCAGAAGTCAAAGCACAACTCAGACAGCTGGGAGAACCAATATGTAAGTGGGCAAGTTACTGGAACTGTCTATTTTTTACAAGGAAAGTACAGATGCTCAGCCTTAAAAATGGGCCACAAAAATTAGATATAATGGTATCTGTATTGACAGATGAAAAGTCACTCACACTCGCTATCCAAGTTACTATTAAAAGTAATGAAGTAAAAAACAAATTGCTTTGCCAGAAATTGTATTAAATGTAATCATTATTTATTTTTTTACATCCATCCCAATTTGTTTTTTTCGGCAGTCGTTGTTCTGTTCCACATCCTTCGATTATTTATGTTGTAGTAAGCAAATAAAATACTCTGATTTTTCTGTATGTTTGTTTGATGATGATGTATTTTTATTTACCGCCTGACTGTAATTTTCAGTTTAGGTTTTTGGCAGTCGTTGTTCTGTTTCACATCCCTCGATTATTGTTGTTGTAGCAAACAAAATTGTGTTGACTTTCCTGTATGTTTGTTTGATGATGAATGTTTTTATGATTTCAGGTTTGTTTGGAGAGGGCCCAGCAGACAGGAGAGAGCGATTGCGTCAGATTCTGGCTAAGATCGGGGAAGACAAACTAAAGAAGGACTCAGAAGAAGAGAAAAAGGAAGAAAAGAAAGAAGTGAGTGAGAGATATGTTTAAAAAAAGAAAAAAAAAACATGCATAATGTTAGAGAGGAGTTCCACCAATTGAGCCTACATAATGTCAACCCACAGGACAGAGGCAAGTGGCGGGCAGCCATCAAGCCTCAGCATCAGAGTGCAAGCATGTCTAACGCTCGGAAAATGGGGAACAACTGACAATAAAACGGATAGGATAGATAGGCACTTTTGATGTAACATGTAACATCTCCCAATGTTTCTGGACTCCCGTTAAGAAATTGCGGGATGATAGCAGCCCATTTCCAATGCACAGTGAACCTGTAAATACTGTTATGTGCTGAGAATAGAGAGAATCTGTCTTCAAAACCTCAAGCAGGGAAGATCAGCTCTACAGTGAACTTAAGAGGGTTGAGATTGTTTTTATCTTTTTTTTTTCACACAGTATAACGACACCACGTGGTACCACGAGGGTCCCCAGAGTCTGAAGGATGCCAGGATGTTTATTGCTGGCTACTCCATACCAAGGTATGGGTCATATCCTACAGCACACTGAGGTAGCCATTTTGCTACCGATTCTCTGTAGTAGATATGGGTGATATGGGTGACAGACGATTTACAGGAATGTATTGAGTAGCCTGTAAACTGTATCAAAATATCTGTCATGTTGTAGTCTTATGTTAAAACTTTTCACAGTGCCTTCTCAATGAGAACTGCCAGAGAACACACATGTACATGTATGCTCTGTCTTGCATTGCCTCACTACATACAGTTTTTTTGTACCACATCAACCAATAAAAAATTAAGAATGTTATCAAGTTATCAATGTTATCAATAATATAATATATAATGTTATATGATAAATAACAATATAATAAACAATAAATATAATGTTATCAATGTTTGACACTTTCCCTTCCATTGATGCCTGTTCAGAGCTAAGAAGAGGTTGGAGAGAGCTCGTGCAGACAAGGAAATCCCAGCTGCACAGAAAAACGCCAGAATGCAGGAGCTGCACAGACAACTCAGGGTGAGTATACACTGTAGTTATTATAGAGAAAGTTTATTGCAAGTTCCTGCCTGTAGGCTGATTGCAAGTAACATGAAAATAAAGGATGGACAACAGGATGGGTAACAATATAGTATGTGACTACTCTAACTACTAAACACAAATTCTAACTTATATAACTTAAGTTATTATGGGCCTGGTAACATTTAATGTATGATTGTTGTATGCATTTTAGTCAGGCATATGAAGGATTCAATGTATCAATTGCTAATCTTCACATATGCAAATTGTGTGTCTTACTTACATACATATCTGATGAATTATTGCACTGTATTTTTACATTTTTACTATTCAGTAACCATTATGTAATCTTGCAATAAGCTATCAAAAAAGAGTGACATTAAGAACAACATCACAATTTTTTTAGTCCAGGTACTTACATGTACATGTGTGTAGTATGTTGATTTGCCTCATGTTTAAACCAAAGATTCAAAATTATTAATAATTTTTTCCTTTTTTTTCAGGCCCTGACCAACTACGGCAGTCAGATAGGAGACAGTCGGCCCATCTCCTTCTGCAAGTTTAGTCCAAACTCCCAGCTTCTAGCCACGGCCTCATGGTAAGAGATACACTACTGTATGTTTCAGCTTCAGTAGCTAAAAAGTGTCTAGGTACCTCCGAAATGTTCAAACATATTAGGAAGTGTCAGAAGATGGACTGCAAATTAAGAAAAAAGCTGTTTCCAACATTGAAAAAGGATGGCACATTATGACAATATGGTGCATCATGATTGTTATGAACCCATTGTGAACTACCACACAACCCCCCGTTACATAGAAGTAGAACAGTCCTATTACACCCCAAGTAGAACAGCCCTATTACACCCCTTCCTATCCTAGAAGTAGAGCAGTCCTATTACACCCCTTCCTATCCTAGAAGTAGAGCAGTCCTATTACACCCCTTCCTATCCTAGAAGTAGAGCAGTCCGACCCAGTAACCTCACTCTGGTGCTAGGAGTCCTGGAGGCAACACAATAAAGTACGAAGCTCCCCAGAAGTCCGGTTTGCGACCAGTTCACTACAATATAACAGCAAGAACTTAACAATGATTGTGTTTTAAGTGCAAACCCTGTTGTCTCTTCAGGTCTGGCCTGTGCAAGTTGTGGTCAGTCCCAGACTGTAAACTGGTCAGAACATTACGAGGTAAGATTGACAATATTATATGTGTGTATGAGTAAAGTTATTCAGGGCTCCAAATATGTTTTTCCTGCATTTTCAGGTTATCAGACAAGAAAAACAACACTTCCCCATCAACAAGTAGGCTCTGTCATTGAATCCAGAGTGTAGATTGTGTGGTGTTCTGAGAAATATACGTTGATACAGTGTAGGATATTCTAATATGTTTTCTCCTAGGACACAACCAGAACATGGGTTGTGTGGTGTTCTGAAAAATATATTTTTTTAGACCTTTGATACAATGTTCTATGTTTTATTGTAGAACACAGAAATATATTTTTTAGACACTTTGTACTGGATGCCCAACTTTCATTGACATTTTGTACAATAATCTATGTTCATTTTCTCCCAGGACACAACCAGAACGTAGGGTGTGTGGTGTTCCACCCCCAGGCGACCCTGACCCTGGAGGACTCAGCCTGCTGCATGGCCTCCTGCAGCGCTGACGGTGCCGTCAAACTCTGGTCACTGGAAAGGTTGGTACTGGGTCTGGGTCCCAACTATAGGTCTTAAAGACCTTATGATACCAGTAGCAGTAAAACACAACTGTTCCTGAACAAAGACGACATTAGGATCAAAAACAAACTCTTCTGATGTTAAGGAGCATCAAATCTTGCAAATCATTCTTCCAGTTCTTGATTTCTGTTTTGTTTTGGAGTTATTGGTGTCATATGGTCTTAAAAAAAAGGTACAGATATCTTTAGTTTCTATTGAGATAGTGTTTGATGTATAATTGCAGTAGATTTCATGCACTTTGTAAATGTTTATTGCTACATTAGTGTCTTAAAATGTACCAGGGAGGGGCAGGGTTTTTCTTCCAAACAGTACATGACTTTTAACCTTCAGTTGTCTTGTTTTTCTTTTTAAACTCTGTTCCCAGTGATGAACCAGTGGCGAATATTGAGGGCCATGAGGCGAGGGTGGCCAGAGTAGCGTACCATCCATCCGGCAGGTTCCTGGGTACAACATGGTGAGTTTGGATGAAGTAATTATGTTTACCTTCACAGAAGGATAACATTTTGCTCTGTATCTTCTTCCATTCTAAACAGTTATCAATGACTTGCACCAGACAGCTGTCCTCATGGTAACTGAAGCTGTATCAGAAACCCTGTGGTATTGGGTTACATTGTGCAAGTTGCAAGACAGAGTTGGACTAGTGTCATATATGAAATTTAATGTGTTTGATTATATATATTAGTATGGACAGAGCAGTAGTTTGTTGGGCTACACCATGTGGAGGTATACATTTATATGCATTTGCTTTACAAATGTTACCTTAACTTAAGTTTCCAGTTATATCAGAATCTGCAGCATGATGATAGCAATGTGATCACTGTGAACTGTCTTATGCAAATCAACTTTATTGCTTAACAATTGTAGCTGGTACAATGTTTGGCAAAGAAACAACAATGGTACATACACAAACTAATACTAAAATCTGATTCTAACTAGCTAGTCCATAACGATACTAAAGCTAATCTATTGCATTTTCTTAAGAGTGACTATAGAAAGGATGAAGAGTGTAAGACATGTCCTTGTTTTTCATGTTGTAGTTATGACAAGTCGTGGAGACTGTGGGACCTGGAGGCCCAGGAGGAAGTCTTACATCAGGAGGGACACAGTAAGGAAGTCTACGACATCAGCTTCCAGTGTGACGGATCACTGTGTGCTACATGGTAAGGGACATACTGTCTTGTACAACGTACATGTAATTACATGCGCTTACCTTGTGAACAAACTGCACTTTAAAGACTTTCTAAATAATGCAATTTTACATTCTAATCTAAGGGGATACTTGATCAACAAACTAATGGTGTATTTTCAATCTACTTATTCATTATTTGAACTTACTCCTCCTAGTTGATGAAGTTACATGTACGTACATTGTGATAAAAGTAACCTTAAGTTTTAGTTTGCAGTAATTGCAAGTATTTAGCATCAGCTAAGGAATATGCACTGTTCTTTATTAAACAACCAGTGCACTGGGTTTCTCACCCAACTTTTCAGTGACTGTCTGTCACCTTCATTGTTGCCCTGAAGAAAGTGACAGTCACCAGAATGTAGGATGTGAAAACTCAATTTCTTTTGAAGCAGTCTCTTGCTCAAAACCGGTGCAATAGCTCAATTGGTAGAGTGCCCGCTTTGTAACCGGGAGGTCGTGAGTTCAAACCCGGCCGGGTCATAGCAAAGACTTTAAAAATGGTACACACTTCTTTCTCTGCTTAGCACTCAGCACATAAGAGAAAGAGTGTGGGAAGGTCAAACACACAGCACTACCAGCGGACTAGCCCCCTGCTGTAGTGCATTGCACAATTGTGTGTCGCCCAAGGGCTACGAAATGGAGATGGGCACCACCCTACGCTCGGGCAAGAGCACGGGAGACCTTCTTCTTCAGTCTCTTGCCAACCTGATCAACACCACAGAAATATTTACTGATTACTACTGTATTGTTGTTGTGCAATGTAGTGGCATATAGAGAGTATGTACTGATATCTAGTGTTAATATTAACCCTTGCAGTGGCATAAGTAATAAGAACTACAGTAACTAATATGAACTGTGCCCACCTGCAGTGGTCTGGATGCGTTCGGGCGAGTGTGGGACCTGCGGACCGGCAGGTGTGTCATGTTCCTGGAGGGGCACCTGAAGGAGCTGTTCGCCATCGACTTCTCACCTGATGGGTACGGACATGTTTGATTTGATTTATTGAAATTGCAACAGTGCAATGCAAAGGCAGCTGTTGCTGGTGTTGTGTCCCACACATAGAAACGAATACTGGACAGACAATACTCAACACATTTTCACTTGAGTCTAGTGGGGAAAGTTGTGTACAGTGCCTTTCCCAAGAGCACAAGATCGTTGGCATGTCAGGACTCGAACCTGGGACCTCTTGATTCCAAATTGTGCACGCTGCCGTTGCGCCACATGACCCTGTGTTTGAATAAAGGCGCAAACGAAATGTAGGTTCTTGAGGCCGTAGTGTCTGTGTCTAGGACACGGTATTGGAAGGTGGAGCCCATCCCTCTCCTTCCACCGCCTTCTACCTCTCTAACCAAAGTCAGGTTAACCCATAACACTCAACCCATTTTACACCTAAGTGGGGTGAGGAAATTGTGTTACGTACGTGTCTAGCCAGGAATGCCAGGGATTCGAACCCATGACCTCTTAATCTTGTGACCAATCTAACCACTCAGTCATTCGACACTACATAATATGGTTGTAGTTCCATCTATCTGAACTTTCTGTATTTTAATGACTGTTTACTTTTAAATGCTTTAGTTAGTAGTAATAGCTCTATATTGAGTAAAGCAGTCAATCAAATGTTATTGTATAATGGAAAAGCCCTGTTTGTTGTGTAGGTACCATCTGGCCACAGGAAGTGCAGACAACACAGCTAAAGTGTGGGACGTGAGACAGAGGAAGTGTGTGTACACCATCCCAGGACACACCAACCTCGTCTCAGGCCTCAAGTATCAAGGTACGTAACTCACCACAACTTAACCACAGGAATACAAAGCTGGTATTGTGAATTTGCGGTAGTACATAGCGACTTTTACGACAAGCCCGTAAATCCTGGCCTTTTGCGGAATTTATGAATTGGCACTGTATGTACCGGGTATGTAAGTGAGTTCTTGAGTGTACACAAAATATGTATGCAAAGCAATAATGATTTAAAAATTGTACCAGTTGGTTGTTAAATGTTTTCATCCTTCCTTGGTGCCATACCTGCCAGGTACAGAATCTGAAGTTAACGCTATGTTCCATGATGTTTCTTACCCCCAGGTTCTGAAGGACAGTATCTGGTCACAGCATCTTTTGACTGCACAGCAAAGGCAAGTACTTGATAGTATCATCTTTCTTTTCAATTTATACAATCTTGATTAAGGTCTGTTTTTTGTTACCCCTAAATGATTGTGTTCTATATTTACTAATGTGTGTAGCAGGGAGAACACAATGGCATTATCTCTGTGTTGTGGCTGGCTGTTACTATTTAGAATTTTTCCTATCTATGCTGTGATTGGCTGTTACCACTTGAATTTTTCCTATTTGTGCTGTGATTGGCTTTTATTAATTGAATTTTCCCTATGTGTTCTGTGATTGGCTGTTACTATTTGAATCTTTCCTATCTGTGCTGTTTTTGGCTGTTACTATTTGAATTTTTCTCTATCTGTGCTATGATTGGTTGTTACTATTTAAATATTTTCTAACTGCACTGTGATTGGCTACTGCACCAGGTCTGGGCCCATCCTGGTTGGTCGCCTCTGAAGACCCTTGCGGGGCACGAAGGGAAGCTGATGTCCATCGACATTTCTCCTGACAGCAAGTTCATTGCCACTTCCTCGTACGACCGGACTTACAAACTCTGGGCTGCTGAATGATCCAGGACCTTGACTTTACAAGGGAGAGTAACATGGATGACAAGCACCTAAAGATCAGCAAGTCTTTTCCAATTTTCAGTCCTTTTAAATTTAGCTGTGATGCATACACTAACAGATGCATACACTTACAGATTTGATATCTAGAAGTTGTTTCCTGTCATAAAGGACATACCCATATTTTCATATTTTTTATTTGTGACAAAAAATGAATCCTGATCAACATGACAAGTGGTCATTTTACTTGGACCAATTTGGTGAACCCAGAGTCATGAGAAAGTGGTTGATATGTACACCACATTGGAATACAGTGTACTGTTGTACTTCTGTACTAAGTCTTGTTCAAACAGAACATTATAGGGCATAGGTGAATACACTGTGGCATACTATGCAACAATAACTTCAGCCGCACTTTTATTTGATCATTTGCCAGGAAAAAACTCACTGAAAATATGCACTGTTTATTGAAAATAAAATGCTCATACCTCCTTCACACCATTCTAAGCAGTTTCTTACTTAGAATATTTGCAAAATATTTTCTTATAATCAAGGAATACAGAAAAAAAAAAACAATAAATTGTCACATTCCACACCTTTATTCATATTATTTATTAACATCCCTTCATAAAATCTTTTTCTGCCAACAGTTTGGCCAAATATAAATATAAACACAAGTTCACCTGTAGTTAAAAAAGCTGTCATTTATGTTAATTCCAAAATATTGAATCAAACAAAATGTCAAATTGCATTAAATCTTATCTAACACCAGTGACGTCCAAAGAAAAATAAATATCTTAAAAGCTGTACGAAAGACAAGCAAAAGTACCACAGGTTATCCTCTCCATCCTTTTTAGCGTTAGTACACTCTCTTGGTCCCTTCTCTAAAGCTACAAAGGCTGGCATAGACCTGCTCTACTTAATCTTATGTTAACTTTATCCTGTTAAAAAAATTTACACCTTAGTAGTTATACCTAGTATCATAGTAAACATAATCATTACCTTGATACAATGCACATGTAACATGATTTTTCTCATATTCCCAATACATCTTTTCCATCCCAAAATCATGGTAAAAAAGCTATGTTCTGGAAGACAAAAGTTTCCATGAATTACTCTGTTCCCTAACACAGAGTGAAATACTTTTCCTACAATGAACACATCTAGTGTGAAAAACGTTCCTGGTTGAATATGTGGTACCTGATAAACATGATTGTTATTCAAAATCAAAACACAAAATTTATACTGCATGATTGTACAGGTAGCGATAGCCTTGCCTTATTCCTCTCAAAGTTCCCACATGCAAAGAGGCAGAAGAATATTATAAAATAGCTGTATTACCTATTCAGCTATATTCATTTATATTTACCTAAAATAGCTGTATACCTATTACCTATATCAATCAACAGGTTGTGTATATAAACCTGCTTTCCCCTCTGGTCTCTCAGTCACTGACGAAAGCTAGTGGATACTAGCTGAAACGTCTGACGTTTTCAAAATCATATCCAGCTGCTTGAGTAACTGTTTTTTGGCATATCGTATTACCTGGATGTCTAACCTTCATCGACGTAGCTGTATTACCTGTTCTGCCTAAGTTAGTACAAATGTATTATTCACAAGACTTAGCAGCATTTGAACTGTGTTACTTTTCCTTTTACAAATACAACTGGTATTTCCCTATTAAACCCCAGGTACTGTTATGGTGTGGTTACGTTAGCTGTAGGTTTTTGTACGATTTTGATGCTGTAGCATTTTGAAGGAAGTCTGGACAGAACCAACTGAAAAAAAATGATTTGAGGCAGTCTTCTTGTAGCAAGGCGGCTGAATTTTGCCTGACATGGGCTTGACTATCCCCAAAATTCCCTCAGATTGCAATTGTACAACATGTGTGGTCTTAACACTGTATATTTTTGAAAACTTTAAAAATTTTACAACTTGGCATCTTAGTGAAGTAATACTTGTACTGATTCTTCTGTATATTTATAGTATGTAGATGTAGAAAAGATGAAATCTGTCTTAGTTAAATATTGAGTGCTTACACATGTATACCTACACCTAAAGCCTTTGGTTGTAGCACCAACACATCACTTTAAAAGAGCCAAATAAAGATTTTTGTGGAAAGATGAAACTACATCTTTTTATCACATAATACTGACACGATAATTTAAAAAAAATTTTTCCAGTCCACCAAAAAAACCCAAAAAATTAGGCAAGCGCAAGTAAAAAGTTCAAGTCAAGTTTGTGATGTATGCAATACAAATTGCCATGTATAGAGTTGCGGGCTTGAATTGTGCCAAATATACATGAAAATATTATGTATATTTGTAACACCAGTCCTGAATGTTTTGTAATATACCGGTACTGTACAAGACAGTTGTCAATGTTTGAGAGAAGACTTAACTACTTCAGAATCTGATTACTTTTTGCAGTGAACATAAAGTGAAATACAGTATCTCACTTCTGTACCGCAAAGTTATATATCATTATCATTAACAAACAAATTGCTGACTTTCTTTTTCTGTGAGCACTAGCATTTTTCTCTGTGACCGTGAACTTACTGGTACTTTCACATAAAGTGAGGAGTTACAGTATCTAACTAGGCATCGGAGTACCCGCCTAGTTCCCCCATGAGTAGAGGAATGATGGTGAGCGCTCGCGGATGCTGTGGCCCGAAGTACTCCATCGCCGCCTGGAGGTACTCCCTCCCCTCCTGCAGTCTGTCTATGTCCAGGTACACCAAGCCTGCAGATCAGCAAACACTACTGGTTAATATCTTAGCATGAAAGTTCATCTGTGTTGGTAGTTACATGTTTAAAGTTAACTCTTGTCCTGAGGGGCCCATATATATACATGTATACAGTCTGTCTATGTCCAGGTACACCAAGCCTGCAGATCAGCAAACACTACTGGTTAATACCATGAAAGTTCATCTGTGTTGGTAGTTACTGTTACGTGTTAAAAGTGAAAACTTTAGATCCAACACAAAGAAACTCTCTCACCTATAGAATCAGCAAATACTACTTGTTACTAAAAAGGTAACATTTGCAAAGCAAATGCATAATGTTTACCTTCGCATATGGTCTGCTCTGTCAAGTCTTACTCAAACACATTCATTTATATGGCGAGACAGAAGTCTAAATCCCTCCTGCTATAAAATTGCAACACTAGTTACCATGGTGATAGACTGTTTCAGGTCATTGACCTTTGGTGTTTGGAAAAGAGGAAACAGAGCAAAAACAATGTGTTTTCCTTATTCCATAAATACACAATGTATATATCATTAAACTTTTTTAAAGTTCACCCGTGTTGGTAGTTACATGTTTAAAGTTAAAACTTAAGATCCAACACAAAGAAGTTCTCTCACACCTAGAGCTTCTGACCAGTCACTCTGGTCTTCCTCAATAGACTGACCCAGATACCTTTGATCCAGTGTTGATGTCACACTTCAAAGAAGCCACGTGACAAGCCTCACTGGGTCAGTCAACTGAGGAAGACCAAAGTGACTGAATCTCACACCCACCTTGTAGATAGCAGGTCTGTCCCAGTTGTTCGTGGTTGGGGTAAGTTGTCTGCTGAATGGCTTCTGCCTCCTCCAGTTTGTCCAGGGCCTCTTCTAGCCGGTCGTCCATACGGGCCAGGATGGCGGCCAGGATGCGACAGTTCCAGGCATAGCTACTGTGCTTCTTGCCTACTTTACGGACCTGTATGTGTTACACAGGTTGTACAAAGGTTTGAAAAGATGAATCATCAGAAATAGGCTTGACTGATCTATGTAATGTAACATACATTGCAGTTGCCCCCATGAATTTCTGCAATATATACAAAACAAGCGACTTATCCATCAGCCACATCACATTTTTGCTTCATAGATATCAGTATGCTACGGGATGGTATTTATTCAACTTACCGGGGGTACTACATTAATAGTCTAACAATGAACAGAAATTAAAGTGTCTTTGAAAATCCAGTTTTGCCACCCTCAAATTGCATTGGATGCCTTGACCCAAAAAGTTTAAGAAGCATAACAGTCTACAGCATGCACATGTAGCCTGAGCTCTGACACTCTTCTACACATTAGACTCTAACCATTTACTCTCAGACCACTACATGCACTCTACCATCTACATTGTACATACCAGTATGGCCTGAGATCTGAGGACTTTGTGTGCTGCCTCCTCCAGCAGGTCAATGTCAGGCTCCTCCAGTTCTGACACGCGCATGGACCAGTACTGCGACTGCATGAACGCAAACCGCACGTTCGTCTTGTCCATCTCTGACATCATCTGGGCGTAGTACGCCGTGCCCTTGCGGTAGTCATCCTGCGCGATATAGAACCTAAACCGTGCAGTAAGAATAATGCTTATTTCCTCATCCAGATCGCATTTCAGCATGGAACATCATTCTATCCAGTCTTGGCTGGAAAGATCTATCTTCACGCCGCCAATTACATCGTTTAGTATTACAAACTGTACGCAAGTCAATTCAGAATCAGTTACCCGAGTACCTATAAACATTTTCAACAGAACTTCTGAAACCCACACTTATGCCACGCAGCACAGTTTAAATCAATCCATGCGGCTGCAACTAGAATGTGGTAGCAGAACATGTTGCATGACCCCGATTGGGAGTATGGATATTAACGATTTTGATAGTCATGTTTAATTGTTCATGTTATACGGTACTTTATATACTGTCTCATTGTGGGTATGTATGTATCCAGGGCCACTCCGGACAGCAGTGGTAAGTCCACTGATGAGTACAGAATGAGTTCAAAGAATACAGAAGTAAATAAGAATTTAATAAACCTCTCGATGGTGCTGTCCAGGACGTGTCGGTAGTAGATGGCGACGTTTTCGGTGTAGCGCTGCACACCGACGAGCCCCGGCGTCCGCAGGAGGCCCTCCGCTCGAGCGATCCACGTCGACGCACTCGTGAAGTCACCCTTGTCCGTGAACACCTGGGCGTTCAAAGAAGACATCAGTTTAGTTCATTTAGTTTCAGTGCAATAGCTCAATTGGTAGAGTGCTCGCTTTGTAACCGGGAGGTCGTGAGTTCAAACCCCAGCCAGGTCATACCAAAGACTTTAAAAATGGTACACACTGCTTTCTCTGCTCAGCACTCAGCACATATGAGAAAGAGTGTGAGAAGGTCAAGCACACAGCACTACCAGTGGACTAGTCCCCTGCTGTAGTGCCCTGCACAACTGTGTGTCGCCCAAGGGCTACAGAAATGGACATAGGCACCAAAACCCTATGCTCTGTATAGAGCACGGGTAGACCTTTTTATTTATTTCACCAGCAGTAACACTCAAGTACATAACAAACTGTTGTTTCAGGCAACTCAGGCTATTGTTTACATTAGCTCATTATAGAAAAAGAAGTGAAGTCACCCTTGTCGGTGAAGACCTGGGCATTCAAAGGAGACATCAGTTAATTAGTTTATTTACTTTCAGTTTATTTATTTCACCAGCAGTAACACTCGGGTACATAACCTGTTTTTCAGGCAATGCTGGGTATACAAAGGACGATTAACAAACTACATGTATACAATATTACGATACCACATACGATACAGTTACTGTATGACACATAAAAAACTCACACAATTTCACCTCTCATTTCAATCATCACAATTCCAGACCTGAATGAATTTTAGCAGTCCCAGAGTCTTTCGTTGCTTCAGTGACAGGTTGTTCCACAGTTAGGGGCTGTAGAACACTATTTATCGCACTACAAACTTTATCTAGAAGCTTCATGTAGCTTGAACCTTGCAGTTGCTGTAAACCACTAACTAGCCAGGAGTGTTACACAACTCAGGCTATTGTTTACAATTGCACACTATTAAAAAAAAACAATATTAATACCTTGGCAAAGCTGTCGCAGCAGTCAAGCCTCTCGGCAATGAGCCAGAGGTTGGAGGGTTCGGGGTATCTGCTCTTGGCAGCCGGACCGTCCCGCGAGCTGCCCAGAACCTCGTCTGCGTTCATCAGGAGGTCAACGGCCTGGTCCAGGTTACCACATCTAAAATCATCATACACAAATCATTTATAGGAGTCACAATACTTGTAATGGATCTTTTATGTACAAAATGTACGGCTTATGCAAGTATGAGGCTGGCTATCTGTGGTTCCACTGCCTGGTCCAGGTTCCCACATCTGCAAATATCATACAAACATCAGTTTGATAGAAGTCACACTACTTGTTATTTTGCCAGGCACAAGACTGACAGAGTGGCTGGCCCATGCATTCTAATCAAACTTGCACATGAAAACTTTGAAAGGACACGCCATCTTAACAATATTCTAGAGGCCAGACAGAGATATAAAGCAGCGGCAGCAGCAGCAGGGAGCAGAGTCCGTTCCAGTTCAGCTGTGAGCACTGCGGAGGACCCTGCAGATCCAGAATTGGACTCCTGAGCCACTAGCGAGTGCACTTCAGAGAAGAGTTATGCACGTACAAATGTAGAAGTCTTCATCAACAACCAAAGGAGAGAGACTTGTGATGAGTCTGTCATCTATGGCTTATGCGATTATGCGGCCAGCAACCTGTGGTTAGTCTTTGTCTAAAAAGTATACATTTCTATGAGATGGTAATAATGAACTAATTGCCCATTAGGCATACTCAAAACTATCCAAAAGGTGTTTGAGTGGTGGACACAATATGACAATTATCCACAGGTTTTCAAGCTTAGCTGTTACTGTGACAAGAGTGAATAATAACCCACCTGTGCCATGTCTTGCCCATCTCCTTATTGATGATGGCCTGTAGGAACGCGGGGTCCATGTCCAGGTCCGGCCCCGTGTTGGTGTTGTCTGCCACACAGTTCATGGCCTTAGTGTAGTGGTTCTCTGCCTCCACAAAGTGCCCGGTGTGGGAGAGGTACCGCCCAACGGCCAGATACAGCAGCCCAGCGGAGTGGGAATACACGCCGTAGTTCTCGCTATATAACAGGACCTGTAGTAGTAGTAGTACATGTAGTAGTAATTGGTTAACTCTTCCGCTACAGCAACAACAGCTCCTTAGCCTCAGGACTTTAAGAACAGGACATTAAGAACAGGACTTGATTTAGTTGATGTTGAGTATATTGCATTTTACTAATAGTTTATGTACTGTGTTTTTGTTGTATGTATTTTTATGTGTATCCAGGATTACCTGAAAAGCAGGCCAAAATGGCCTGAGCTGTAATTACTGGTAAAACAAATAAACTGAAACTAAACTGAAACTATTGCCTTTGTGAGAAGGGTATAAATTTTAAGTCAGTCTGCTTTTGTGTGTGAGACTGTGGATTTAGCGGCATAACTGTTGAAGGCATAGATCGATGTTCATGATTTTTGGCAGGCAGGTTACCGTTGAGGAGACCAAGGTCAAGTTCAAAGATGCGCTTCCTGGGGGTCCTTACGTAACTGCAGTGGACCTTTTGTGTTTGTTGCTTGTTACATGTAGCAGGATAACTAGAGAATATTTAAATGGATGTTCATGTTTTTTTGGTAGGCAAGTTACCGTTGTGGAGACCAAGGTTAACTTCTTTTTGCAAATCAGAAAAAAAGGAAGCGGGCAAATCCGTGAACCAACAAATTAAATTGGTGTAGCCTAATAAAAAAATAAAAAACAAAACATTACCTGCTCCGCATGTTCGTACAGTGCGTCCTGCACAGCCGCCCGGCCGCCGTCACGATACTGCTGCACAATGGTCATGGCTAAACAGTTGATGTAGAGCCGGATCTCGCCGTTGGACAGCGCACCTCTCGCCCGCTTCTGGGTCAGCGGCCGCATCGAAACCATGGCCTTGGGCGTGTCCTCCTTGACAAGGTACTGCGTCTAATGATGATGATGATGAATGCTTGATTACAATATCAATTACTCGCAGCCGAATGGCTGAATTCTACATGTATAGCCGGTGTAACCGCTTTTCGGCGTAAGACACCACCATGAATTGTTGATTCATTACATTACAAAACGATCAGTACTCAAAACTTGTTCTAAAATAAATATAAACATATTCGTATCATCAAATTGCAATAATAATGATGTAATTATGTTTTCAGATTTTTCAAAAAGAGAGAAGAAAGGGCAGCTAACAGTAGATGATAGGTAGTATTATATAATATATTGTAACAGTTGTAATATATAGACTCCTAGCACTTAGCATTGGAAAATAGCGTTCCAGTATGCAATATGAGCGATCACCATGACGTCATGGTAGGCAAAAAGTGGGTGACGGTTGGTTGATTTGCCCACCCATAGTTTGCATATGTCTTCCATAATTTGCATGTATATGATGTAAACAAAAACAGCGATCGCTCATATACTCATATTTTTTATCCTCTCAATCACATTTGGTCACATTTGTGCATTTAGCCCATCTGGGCAAGAACATGCAATAAAGATTCATATCATATATCAATAAAATGTGGTAATTGAAAACGCTTAATAAATATACATTCTTACGATCTGGAGTTAACTAACCAACCTGGGTCAGCAGCTTGACATTGGCGTAGAAGTCGACGCTCTCGGCCCCGAGCTCGTGGCCCACGCTGAGAACCGCCTCGCTCAGGGCGACGGTGTTCAGCTTCCGGTAACCCTCCCGTAGGTAGTGTAGCGGGATGTGTTGGTAGTCACAGAAGGCAAGGATGTAGGCAAGCTTAGCTTCTGGCGTGTACTGGGCTGTGGAAATGAAAGGAATAACAAAATATCCTGTGTGTGACCACCACTTCATGTTTACCATTATTATAGCAAAAAGGGAAAAAAATAGCAAAGTTTATGACTAAAAGGCAAATAAAATAGCAAAGTTGATGATGAGGCCAAGGTCAATTGACAAAATATCCCGTAACCACTACTGTTTTTGTCTATTAGGCCAAACCAAGTAAATTTTATGGATGACGTCCTTTGGAGACCCTAAATCTAATGCGAGAGGGCAAAAAAAAAACAAGAAGGGCCCTAAAAACAAGATGCCTAGATTGGAAATATACTAAAAGACGACAAATGTTAGGACACAAATTGAATGAGGTGACACAGTGTAACAAGCAAGAAGTCTTTTATTCATCATCAAAACAGCAATAAATCAGGTGGAACAGCAGTTGTCGTCCTGTGAGTTTGGGGAGATAGATGGAGCGGTCAGCAAGTTTCTTCAAATGTGGCAGCATGTACCAAACTGAATTCCTAATGGAAGTCATGATTTCCTTGCTTGATGCTTTGGTCCGTACAAACCTATTTGCGGCACTGTCGTGACTCTTTGGTCATAGTTACAGGAAGCGGAATTTCTTGTTTGTTTTTTCTAGGAACAGGCCAAAATCAATGCGCGCGCGGACGTCATCCATAAAATTTACTTGGTGTGGCCTTACCATCATAACTGAAAGCAAAAAAAAGCAAAGTTGATGATATGGCCAAATCAGATTGCTATTGATAGGAAACTTTTCTAAACAGAGACCTCTATATGTTTCATGAAGTTAATCATAAAAAGTGAAATTTTTTGAACATCACAGACCAGAAATACAAATTACTATTTGTTCATATCTTGACTGTAGCTGTTAAACAATTGATAAACCCAGCACCCATACACAAAACAACACTCAATGTGGTAACGTTACATTACCTGTGTTCAATATGCCCAAAGGATCTTCTGAATAATGTCCAGCTGAAATAAGGTAAAATAATATGTATAATTTTAATCAGTTGAGATTTTGTACAGTTATTTGATGTGTTAACATTTTAAGAACTGCACCATTTTCATTTAAATCAATACTGTTGTGCATGTGAAAGATTTATAAAACTTATTCACTTTTAATTGCCTTTATTGAAAGAGATATTATAACAAGGATAGCATTCCATTTTTCTGTATTAATCTAAACAACTTGAACACATTTCTGTAACTATCATAAGATTTTTTCCTCAGCTACTAGTACATCGTATGATGTATATGACTGGAGGGAAAAGGTTAAAGGTGATTCAGAATTGAGTTTACCGGTATACTTGAATTTAATACTTAGTCAAGCAGCTGAATTTTATACTATAGGTGGCACTTTAAAGAGACACATAATATTACCTCGACTCCTCTACCTATGTGTATCCTAGACTTCAGCAGCATATTGATTGTGATTATTTTTTAATTGATTAATTTGAAAGGTAATTTGATTGAATATTTTCTTTCCTATCAGCATTCTAAGCTGATATCTACATTATCTTCAAGTCTGAAGAACAGCATTGCTCAAGTCACGTCTGATAATCGGAAGCAAAATATTCTACCTACAACAAAAAAAAAACATTCCTCATAATTGTCTTTCTTACCTGTTGTTGCAAAGCATTCCATAGGCAGCATGTTATATCTTATAGCAAAGCACCTCAATGTTATTATCATTATTATTATAAGCTTTCATCCCATGCACAGACTAGATACAGTAACTGAGTAAAGAGACTCTTTTTACACAACCAAGTGTTTTATTTACAGCCGACGTTTTGGTGACCGTCTGTCACCTTCCTCAGGGCAATTCTGACTGGTTCATATTGCACTGCAGCACAGGTGTTGCTGCTACAGATGCATTCCCAAATGTACAATATTTACGTATCTACACATATACGTGGTTACAGGGAACTGTATCTACAATGCGGTCTCAAACGTACAGAATTGCCCTGAGGAAGGTGACAGTCACTGAAATGTTGGCTGTGAATAAAATTAATAATTTTAAACTTGATTGTGTCAAAAGAGTCTCTTTACTCAGTACCTTACCAACCTGATGAAACTATAACAACCTGATGTAGATACAGTAACTGTTACTACGAATTATTAGTATTAGTATTATAATAGAATTGTCACCAAGAAAAACATGGAAGCACCTTATTCAAGATGTATCAATCTTTATTGATTTTGTCCATGAAAAGAAGAGTGCAGGTTGTTAGTGAGCTGATAGTACAGAGTCTGGAGTGAAGCGACACTACTATAGGCAGGTGTGGAATTGCTTTGTCACATTCTTTTTCAATCTTTTCCATTCTCAAGAAAATGCCAACGTGCATAGTGAAATATTTACAGGGCAAAATTGTATAAAAACTGTCACAATAGAAAAAGTGAAAACAACTAATATTTTGTAGTGAAATCCCACCACACAGCCAGTAACATTACGTTTTTTTGTGGTTTTAGGCATCCTTGTTGATATTTCTGAAGAACATCTCAAGTTTTCAAAATTTGTGGCTTTAAATCTATGAATTCATAAGATCAACAACAACCAAATCTACATACATGTATTTAGTATCATGAAGATCGTCAATTTGAAATTCGATCTAAATGCTAATTATCAGCACACAATTATAGAGTTGAAATTTTTTTCTCCTTCATGACTTTAAAACGTCAGAATGTGTAGAATTTTACTAAGTGTTTCATAACAGAATTCTGTATCTGTATCTGTATAGCCGGTATAACCGCCTTTTGGAGTAACACACCAGCTTCGTGACAGTATTGTCACTGTGTTTTCCTCTAATCGGAGAAAAGGAATTTTGTCATTGACATTTTTATAAGTGCTGATTCAAGGAGGAAGAGATGTTGAGCAGAAATATTCTCAAAGATGCCTCAAATTGTCGAAATATTATCAAACACTCAGTGTCTAGTATAATTGTCACGGCATATTGTTAAGGGCAGGGCATATACACAATAACTGTGGCTTAATAATAGAGAGGAATTTCGTTCTATAATATTCTGTACATTCATGTCAGTTCAATTTCATCATATTATCCTCTTGTGGCTCCTCTTTTTATACATAAATGTATTAAGATATTAAGTGCATTGCTTGCTTTACATATTTTCAGTTCCTTCTGCCTGTTGGCATTGGCCATTTGTAAAATTTCTAAAAGAGAATAAAGGAAACCCATATTTTTCAAACGGCAGAAAAAAGGACCTGTATACATGACATTGTATAAACAAAAGGCTGTTGACAGCATAGCAAAGTCATAATTTGTTGTTACAATAGTATCAATACTAGAACGAAATGCAAACTCTTGATCGTCAGAATGCTTTAAGTATTACATCTGATTCAGTGATTTGTGGCTAATAATCATGAAGCAAGTTGACCAATTCTTGGTGCATGTTCCTCAGTCTATACTTGGCTTATTGTATAATTGTAAAGTACGCTGTGTTCGATTCAGAACCAATCCAACGCCTCCATTGCACACTGGGGATAGATATCTGTCACAAATACGCTATACAGGAATGTATAAAGGCAAACTTCTCGCCACTATCTCTTTTTTTCGCACTAACTTCTGTAGAAAAGATGCTGACCAGGAGAAAAACAGGACTCTGTTGTTCGGAGGAGGGGCGCTATATGATTGGATGAGACCGTCTTTGATAATCTATAATCACTGACAGTTTTTGAAAGAACCCTCAAGGTCAACCACATGTTCAAGTTTGAAAGGTCACAGTTGCACGAAATCATTAAGAATCTCTTTCCTCAAGTTCAGTACATGTACTATATATTGGAAAGCTGTGATCATTGTTAATGTTCTCTCGTGAATTTTAACACGTTGTTATGCCAGTCTCCTTAATTGCATCGACAATTGTGTAATTGATCTTTATTTGGAAATGACCCTCTTTACACATTTTGATACAGTCAGGTTTTGCAATCACCAATGCAATGGCTTGGACTACAGGTAAAAAAAAATGGCCAGCCGATCCTGGCATTGTTTTTGTTTTACAGAGCCTGCTTTTCGATCCTGTTGTATCCTGGAATGGTTTAATACGAGCATCACCTGCCTTTGGTACAGTACAGGTGGATACTAGAAGACTTTTAGTGGGGCCAGTTGCTAAGATCAGTTCCTCCCCGTCAAAAGCTACCCCTAAGTCCAGAGCCAGCAAAATATCAGCCCTGGTAGTATTTTAGTAAGGAGATTGGGCAAAGTTGATGCAATGTGTGCATAAACCTTTTTCTTTACAGTTTGCTTCAGCAAGAAGTGGTAGTGCAAGATACATTGTATTTTCTAGAAAATTGTCAACCACTACACGTAGATTGGATAAGGATTCTTCATGCTACAATTAATTATAGTACTTCTCTCTACAATGCTACGGTCTTGCCTGGACTGCACTGGAAATAGTTTTGGCATGTCCATTCTAGCTTTGGCATTTTATACAACTCTTCCTGGATCTTACCTAAAATACAGAAACCTTCTGGTGTACAAAACGGTTTCGATTATTTGTGTAAATTCTTTTAAAAATGGTAAGAAACTGCGCTAAGATCTGTGAAAAGTCATACAACACAAACAGCAGGCAAAGCCTGGCAATTGGTCAGAATTGAGCATATTTTTCCTCACAACAGAGACTTTCTAGGACCAAATCGGACATAACATGAAAAAAATCACTCTAAATTCTTCTATCTTAACAAAAAATCAAGTCAGGCAAGTGCTTACAATGATACCATATATTAACTTTAAGTTATTGTTCCACATTTTCAGTACCACCTTTGGTGGTAAATTGGTGCTTGGTATGACCTCGACATGCATGTTTAACTTATCTAATATTCAATCAAGCCAGGTAGTAGTACATACAGCCGACATCAACAAGGTTAAAAGATCGACACCCTCTCAATGTCCACTCGGCTCTTACAGAATTCCATGGGAATCAACGAAGAAAAGAACTCTCAACCAAAAAAAGAGGACATTATTATCAAGAGCCTGTCGAGTCACATAAAAAGGCAGAATGAATGTTTGATGCTCCACGCATTATTTTTTTCGTTTGATTCTTCATGTTAACAGAAAGGCCTCCACGTGACAGCTTGGTCATCTGTGGCTGACAGTGTCAGTGTAGTTAGTTCCAGGGGACGCTGCTTTTTCCTCTGGTGCTGCTGCACGTATCATCAAGGTTCCTCCCCACGACAGCAGCTAGCTTGCCTGCATGGCTCGGTGCTGCAGTTCCTGTACATTCTTTCTTGCATGCGCCGCGGCGTCTTCTCGAAGAGCGCAGAATTCTTGGTCCTTCGCGTCGTTGGGATCCACACCCCGGATCTCATCATGTATACAGGCTAACTTGTAAGCGCTCGTGCCTCAGGGTCATCAAGAGACGAGAGCGATTTTTCATCATGTGGTCCAGTCCAACCAATCGGGATGCTGCAAGGAGGTCATGTGACTCAACTTCAATGGGAGAAGACTATAATTTTAAACTCTTGTCATTAGCACCAATCAGATTCTTCATCAGAGTCAGAGTACGAGCGGCCGATGCCGCTGCTGTCCTGCCTGACGGGTGTGTTCCGTTTTCGGTAACTTCCCTCGCTTCCGTACATTTCCGGGGAATTTTGTTGGGAGAGTGGGGAGTTGGACGTCGCTGCCGCCACCTCGAAGGTCAAGTAATCTAAGGTGTTGTCGTACTCGAGCTCGTCCAGCTCTTCGTCCTGGAAGGGGCCTTCCTGTTCGTAGTTGTTGTCTTCGACGTAGTATAGTTCGGAGTTAACGGAGGGGGACTGGTGAGGCATGTACTCGAAAGCTAGGTCGTCCTCCGGAGAGGGGGACTGGCACACCATGGAGGCCGGTGGTGCGCGGGAGGGGTGCTGTCTGGAGGGGGCGTCGTTTCGGGGGTAGCGAGGCTGGGGGTATCCGGAGGAAGCATGGGATTGGGCGGGGATGCGGGTTGCGTTGGGGTCGGGGGAGGCACTTCGTTTTCTCCTGGTGGGGGTGTGGTTGGGGGGAGTTCTTGGCGGGGAGGACTTTTTGTTGGGCGGAGGAGAAGAAGAGCGGTGGTTGGATCCGGCGGAGAGGCCTCCGCTCCTGGACACGGGAAGAGTGGGGAGCATCCGGCGCTGCTGCCTGGCGTGGTCGTCATCGTGGCTGAGATAGGTGGAGCTGTGGGTTCGGGTAACGTTGGCGGCGGTCTGGGGCTGTTGGGAAGGGGTGGCAAGGTCATGTCTGTGAGCGGGGGAGGGCCTTGTTTGTATCTCGTGCGGTGCGGAATAAGGCTCCTGTGGCCGGGCCATGTCGGCCGGGGCGGCATGCGGCTCATGACGGCTGTACAGGTGGTGTTGGGGCTGTTGCTGCTGCTGTTGTACAGCAGCACGGTGTGGAAGTGGTGCGTCTACATTGGTCTCTTGTTGGACCGCGGGATGACCTGTATGTAGGCAAGCCAACGTGGACTACTCAATCCCAGGCAACATGCAGCCGCATACAAGTCAGAACAACCAACAACCATGCCAAACTCAGGAAACACATCATCAAACTCATTCCACTTAGAAGAAAATCAAACAGCAAAACATGCAGTCCAAGAAAGTTGAACAGTGACAGCACAACTGACCTCGATGCTGGCAACACGAGCACAAGACAAAACACCACCATCATGCTCCAAAACACGTACGGGCACGTCACGACACATTCACGAGAATACTCCTCTCCAAAATCAAATGTGCTGTAAGAAAACTTTCCACAATGCGCATGCAAGGTGCTTTGAACAAACGGAAAAAACACACCACCATGCATCTGTACTACATACAGTACACAAGCCAATAGCATTAAATGCTCAGACATGTTTTATCGATATGTTGTTCTGTACAATTATACTAACAATGCTCACCCAGTACGTTATACAATGATGTTCACAGATAGCGGGTTATATCCAATGATTGTCATGATAGTAGTTTACAGCATGGGAAGGTTTTGAGACAGGGTTGACAACACAACATCCCACACTTGGGACTTAGAAGTTTATCTGATTCAATGTGTACAGAGGTCTGTTTGCAACATTATTGGATTGTGTAGTTGGAATGTGTTATACAATGTAGGGTGGGAAAGGTCCCTAATTTTGAAGTCGCCTGGAAAGAGCATTTTGTGGGTACAGTATGTTTCAGTGGTACTGAGAGCTGCTTCAAAATTAGGGGCATTTCCACAATTGTGTAACTCTGAGATACATGTACATGTTAGGATGTCTTTTCGGGACCAGGACATAGCAGCTTCAGTTTTCCATTCTATAGCTTGTATACAATGTATCAAGGTAACAGAATGCCGTCCTTTCCTAAAAACCAGTCTGCCTTACATATTATGGGAATTGTAACTTTTTACCGCAAGCAATCACATCAGAATGCAATGCATTTGCAACTTGAGAAGGACTTACTTGAACAATAGTAGCTGCCATGTCCTGGCCAGTATTGGGCCACCAATACAACATTTTAGGCATGTACCATGTGTATAATAACAAGTGCAGATTGTTCTGTATAAGCTGATTCACAGTTTGAACTAAATCAAATGCGTGAGGTCAAACGTGAAGGCCCCTGACACATGTAATTCCTGTCCATATTTGTTTTTTGTTTATGTCTCAGGGTCATCAACTTTGACATGTTACCCACAGCATTTTGTATGCGCAGTTTAAACTGTGAACTGTGTTACTGAAACAGGGTGAATGCTGTTGAGAAGACCACATAGTGAAGAGAAATGAGGGAGAGCACATGTGAGTGTTTGAAGCCGGTTTATTGGGCGGGGGGATACAAATGTAGAAGCTGACACAGGTTTTCAAACAGGAGACACTTGGGTCACGAAAATGATGGTCAGGAAAAAACATCTCAGAAAACGTTTTTGAACAGAGAGACGATTGAAACTTGAAATGGACAGCTGGAAAGGCTTTCCAAAGGGAGGCACAAAGTTGAGAGAACAGTCAGTAGGGAGTTTCAATGGCTTTGGGGGAGGATGCGAAAATTGAAACATCGAGCCACACCAATTTAATTTGTTGGTTCTTGGATTTTTTCAGAAAAAAATATGAAGTGACAGGGCGAAAAAAAACAGGTCTAGGCATCCTATTATAGCCCTAAATGCTATGATAGGAGCCATGAAGTCAACACAAAAGGCTGGGTTAATATTTAAATAATGAATTTTGAACTTTTAATGAAACCACTGCATTGATAGATGGAAAAACTGTAACAACTAGGAAGAAAAGGACTTTCCCCAACTGTTTGGGACAAAATATGAGCATATTTGAGTTGATTCAGAACCAGAATCTTTTTTTTTTTTGCAAATCAGAAAAAAATGAAGAGGCTAATCCGAGAACCAACATATGAGCATATTTGAGTTGATTCAGAACCAGAATCTTCTTTTTTTTGCAAATCAGAAAAAAATGAAGAGGCTAATCCGAGAACCAACAAATGAAATTGGTGTGGCCGTAGATAGCCTGGTATCCAGTCTTACGTGATTGGGGGTATTGGGGTGTTCGGGCAGGTTGTGCCTTCGGGGGCTCTAATAGCTTCCCCCGCCCAGTGCAACAGGCCGCCCCGGTAGGAGAGTTACGCTAATAACTGGGGATTTGGTTTCCCCCCAACACGAAAGCCATATGTCACTACTGCCCCGCCTCTGTCTATCCGCTGTCGTGAGGGCTAATCAGTCTCTTGTGAAATACACACCGGGAAACCTATGTGAGGCGGGCGGGACAGAGCTCTTTCGGCCCCAACCACGATCAGACTGGATACCAGGCTAAGCCGTAGAAGAAGTTGGAAGTACAGGTTACCTGCCGGGAGCCTGGGGCAGGCCGGCCTCCAGCCCAGCAGGCGAGGCCAGATCGAGACTGTGTCTCCTGTGTCTTAATCCTGCGCAGGGAGTAGACTACAGCTGTCAACATGTTTGTCCCAGACTGATGAACTATATTATAGCATCAGGGCTCGAAATTCATTATTGGGAATAGGTGCACTGGTGCACCCAACCTAAAAACAGTGTGTACCATATGAAGAGAATAAATAGAATGTCAGCAAAAACTACTCAATGAATGCTTTATTTCTAAAGAAAAATACTACAACAAAGATTTTCTTATTTTTCTGACACAAGATTATGCTGTGTAGTAGTATACATTTAACATCGTTAAAGGTGTAAACCTACAAAAATGTTTTGGTGCACTGGTGCACAGCTTCAATTTTGGGTGCACTAAGGTGCACGTGCACAGAGTATTTCGAGCCCTGTATAGCATGCTACAGCAAGAATGTCCCCAGGTTTCAATATATAGTCATCAGAACTGATAGTCATGAAGCTGAGTGTCATACAGTAGGAAAGTAGCTCGCCCAACAAGTCTGCAAGTTCTAGAAAGGGCATTTTTGGCCAGTGTTCGCACAATGTGACCGGATATCATGACGGTGGGTTTAAGGACAAAACATTTTCTGACACTTGATTCTCTGCCAATGTTGAAATTCTGTGTCTTTCTGGTGATGATAAAAGTCATCTGTTAAGAAATGAGGGATCGACAGTGCGGTTTTCCTTCTCAACACTCTTGCCTGTGTTAGGCAGCCAAAATATTTTCAGATGTACGAGGTACATGTACTTAATAGATCAAAAATGTGACCTGGGAACATCCTTAATCACTATACTGGGCAATGGAGGAAATGACGGGGCAACTTTGATATGTTTGGATGAATGGATGGTAAACAAGGAAAATATTCACTCACATGTCAGAAACAAAGAAAAGATGAGCAGAAAGAAAAAAAGGCAAGGTTCTGTTGTACAGCATCAGACTTACGTGACTCCTTTTGAGTGAGGCACATGTTTGTGTATTTGGGTGTGTTGAGAAATGTGGAATCCGATATGATGAAAAAAACAGCAACAGCACTGTGCAGCAAGAGTTAAATGAATGTGCCCTTGTCCCTGGTAAACTAAAACCCTCTAGAAATAATAAAGTATTATCACAAGTCACAATTTTTAATAGCAACTTCATTGTACTATTCAATTCTAGGGGGAAACTATATAACAGACACTTATAACAGCTATAAGTAAATTCCAGATACATATTGTAATGGGGGCCCTAACAAAACTAGTTTTCCTTGTTAAGTGTGTGGGGCATCTTAATAGTAAAATAATAATTAAATCTATCTTTTTTTATACTTTTGCAGTGACATTTTCATGATGCAGTTCTATGGTTGCTTGGCTGTTGATTTGAGCTGTTAGAACTATAGATGCATGAAATTGCCAGTGATACCATTTTACATCTGAAATGTGTTATTTCTGAATATTCAGCACAATATGTGGCACAATATTGACTAACAAACCTGTTCATCAACCAGTGTTTTTATAGGATAATTTGGAAGGTGAATGTGTACCTATTTTCCTATTGAAGTCATTAAAACTTGAAGACTGCATTTTACAGTATTTTTCGTTAGCTGGGTGTATTCTTGCAAATGTTGAGATCAGTCAAATACCTTTAAGTCCTTAGCAAAAATATTCCAGTTTAAAGCGACATAAAAGTTTGTGAGACCTTGTTACAGCATGTTAATAGGTGAACCTACCTAATCAGCATATATAAATCTAGCTCCTTGTTAGTATTGGGTGAGTATTGTTAGTATAAGCACTTCAGTAGTCTACATGTACCTATTGCAGAGTACAGAGGAACTACATGCAGTGTATTCGTGAGAAGTGCACAATGTATTGTACATGTAAGACCACTCAGGTATTACTGTCGTACGTACCTGTCCTACCATTGGGCTGCATGGACACTGACCTCCTTACACCATCCCTATTATACTACAATGGAGAACAGAACAGATATGTCAAGATATATCCAAAGTATGTATATACAATGTATTATTGTATATTTCACTGTGTATTTATGAATTGGAGGAGGGGAGCAAGGGGCCAGTACTTGGCCTGAGCACATAGGAAGGTAGGCAGGATTTATTAATTATATTTTTATGTATGCCTAATGACTTATTTTCTCCCAGGGTTGACCATTAATAATAGTCTGCGACTAGTTCGGCAACCCTGGTTGTTGTAAGCTGAACCGATAAATAAATGAATAAATAAATGAATATGTCAAGATCCAAAAGCATCTTTAACATTATATTTGACAGAACAGCCTAGGACACTAAGGTGCAGATATTTCAGAAAAGAAATGGATCATAACACAATCATATGTATCATACAATCTTATACAAACTATTGTTTTGGCTACTTGTACTGTAAATCACTTTGTATTCCCGGTAGCAAAATTTTGCGGTCTGAGAAAAATGGACATGTTTGAGGAACTATATATTCACGATGGCAGCAGGTGCAGAAGAAAGAAAGTCTACGAATTATTTGTTTGCGATAATGACAAATTTGTAGAGAAGTGGCTGCGAAAACCAAGAAGAGTGATTTATATTACTAGTATCTCATTGTAAGAGTGACAGTCAGTGACATTATTGCAGAGGTACCTGACCAAAAACAGACAATTTGTGCATCTTGATCCTTGTAAAACTATAGCTATTGGCTAAGATGCCAGTATCAAAGCTTTATGGTATAGCTCTCACATAGAGGTGCTATTCTTTAATAACTATTAGGCTTTCAGCACCAAGGACAGACCTAACATCAGGATTTTACATGCAGTTGTACCCATACAGTGTACTTACAAGACATTAACAGTTACTGATTTTCAACCTCTCACCTTAATACATTCATAAGTAGGTTTGGGGCAGACTACCCCACTGGTGATGGGGGTGTAGGTAGCATATTTAAAGGCATCCAATGCAGTTTTTAGGGCTTGGAAACCCGATTTTTCAAAGCCAATATTCCAGCCATTTATCTACATACTTAGTTGAAACCACACTATCCTAATGTATATTGACCCTCATGGAGCAAAAATTCCCAAAATTCTGACAGAAAATGGTCACTGGAAGGGCCCTGGGCTGATTTTTAGGGTACCAGCCAGAAAATAAAGGACTCATCTTTGGGCGTTTCTGCAGTTTTAAAAGCCCAAAGTATGAAATACTGACTAAAATGTGCTAATGTGAAGCAGTATGTGTCAGATTGCCTTATTCAGAATATTTCCAGTTTTGCTGCCCTAAAAACTGCACTGGATGTCTTTAAGAAGTACAGAAAATTTTCAGCATGTTGGATGGAAATGGTTACCTGTGGTACAAACTTGGGCATGGAGGTTGACCTTGAAGGTTCTGTCTCAATAGTTAGAGTGTTGTTCTCCAACGGTCTCATCTCAATGGCCTAGGGGAAGCAAAACGTACTGTGAAAATGCTGTCATATTTAAGACATAAATAGTGACTATTTTTTACAGTTTCTGCTCAATCTATTCTTAGATATTCCCAAATAGCTAAAAGAACAATTCTAGAAAAACAAGAGTGTTGTTCTCCAACGGTCTCATCTCAATGGCCTAGGGTATGAAAAAGTTTCTGTGAAAATGCTGACATTTTTTACACAATATTTTTCAATAATTTCCTGTCTTAGTTAGGTCATAGACCTCCGACTTTTTTTTGCCCTGCGGTGGCATAGTTACTTCCCCATTCGTTGCTTTTCGCTATGGTGTGATGCGTTGCACGAGAAATACACCCAAGTTGTACCTATACAGGGTGCTATATACATGTGTAGATGGTACTGTATGTGCAAAACAACAATTGTTGTGCTCCGCAGGACAAGGGTTAAGACATAAATAGTGACTATGTTTTTTACAGTTTCTGCTCAATCTATTCTTGGATACGTCGATGAAGGTCAGACATCCAGGTAATACAATACGCCAAAAAACAGTTACTCAAGCAACTGGATATGATTTTGAAAACGTCAGACGTTTCAGCTAGTATCCACTAGCTTTCGTCAGTGACTGAGAGACCAGAGGGGAAAGCAGGTTTATATACACAACCTGTTGATTGATATGCAAATAAAGTGCTATTCTTGGATATATTCCCAAAGAACAACTCTAGAAAAACAAGACTTAAGCTTGAGTGTAGTACTGCAAATCATTGTGTTTTCTTGGGGATGAAGTTTACAGTAGTTTGCAGTTGAAACCATTTTATAGTACAGTTAGGCCACACCAATTTAATTTGTTGGTTCTCGGATTCGCCTCTTCATTTTTTTCTGATTTGCAAAAAAAAAAAATTGATTCTGGTCCTGAATCAACTGAAAAATGCTCATGTTTTGCCCCCCAACAGTTGAGGAAAGTCATTTTCTTCCTAGTTGTTACAGTTTTCCCATCTATCATTGCAGTGGTTTGATTAAAAGTTCAAAATTCAATGTTTAAATTTTAACCCAGCCTTTTGTGTTGACTTCATGGCTCATTTTGTAGCATTTAAGCCTATAATAGGATGCCTAGACCTGTTTTTATTTTTATTTTTTTTCGCCCTGTCACTTCATATTTTTTCTGAAAAAATCCGAGAACCAACAAATTAAATTGGTGTGGCCTTAGCTTTGGTTGAAACAATTCAGTAGTACAGTACTCAAACATGTAGATTGGAAACCCCTATTCACTGTGCCCTGATTGACAGTAGAAAGGTCACAGCAAAAAACTCGAAGAAGAATAAAAGCACAGAGAACATTCAGGTTTACTGAGTAATTACTGTGGTAGCTGCTATTGCTTCAAAGATGAATTCACAACAATCAGAGAACACAGTAAAAGAAGGAGCAGATCACAGAAAACACACACAGACACATAACATCTGTGTCCATAATATCACCAGGGTCCATAATATAGCCACCTTGAGAAAAAGTGTGCTTTAAGATGTTTTTACTGCAACATACCCTAGGTATGTATATTTGATGTGTGAAGGAGTGCATACCAAAAGTATGTTGCAAAAGTAAAAATATCTTTAAGCACACTGGTGGCAATATTATGGACCCTGGTGATATTATGGACACAGATGTTAGAGATGAATTCAAGACAATCAGAGGACACGGTAAAAGAAGGAGCAGATCACAGAAAACACACAAAGACATACACACAGAGAGAGCACACAATCATGAAAAGCAGAGAAGACAGCTGGTACCTGTGAGTGGTTTGGATTGTTGGAGCTACTAGGAGTGGCAGTTGGATGTGGGTTGCCCTGAGAAAGGTGCCAACAACACAGACATATATATAGGAAAATTGAGCACGTCGGCAGAACGTACTGCACCTGCGCGAAACCCGTAATGTATTGTACATAGCACTTTGGCAGAACGTCTCATATAAGGTTGTTTTCGTGCATATAAGGAAAACATCTCGTCTGTAGTTTCCAAATGTTATGTTGGAAAAGATATTCTCTGCAACAGGCAAAATTCTAATGCAACGTTGACCAAAAAGCCACCGAAAAACGTGAAAATATGGGGTTCTGCGCAGACGCAGTACGTTCTACCGACGTGCTGGAAAATTGCAACTTCAGTTCAGCCCACAGTCAGAAAAGAAGGACACCTAGCAGCTACTTGTTGAATTGCAGTGAGTGATATTGATATGATAACAATAGAGCAAGTCCACTGAAGAAATACATGTACCATCACTTAAGCATTACAACACAGGCAGACTACATGTAAGTTGATGCTGTTGATAATTTTCAAAATTTTTTACAGAAACATTTTTTTTAGCTCTTTTGTTTAACGTGAACACTAACAGGACGTGAAGAAATGTGATACTTACAACATCTGCCACATTTAGGTTTGTGTTTCCACCAAAAAGTTTAGGCTGTTGGGCACTGCAAAGAATAAATGCAAAAAAGTTAATAACAATTTTCACATTGTTCTAAAACATTTTTGTGTATTGGATATGTTGAATATTTCTACAAACAAAATCATGTACCTAGAAAGGTAACATTTGCAAAGCAAATGCAAAATGTTTACCTTTGCATATGTTCAGTGCTCTGTTAATTCTTACTCACACATTCATATACATGTATATGGTGACAGGAGTCTAAATCCCTCCTGCTTTAGAATTGCAACATGATGTAACCCAACACCAATTACCATGGTCACAGATGTCTGGCTTCTGATCACTGAGTGACCTTTGGTGTTTGGAAGAGGAAACAGAGCAAAAACTAGAAAGGCCGACATTTGCTTGGGAGCAAATACAGCATATTTCAGTCCATCTCCCTCCCACGCAAAAGTGGACTATTCCAAACTTACCCCAGTGCAAAACTGGCAAAGGTTCTCAAATAAATGAATTAAATAGTAGCTATATGAGAACAAAGATGCAACAACAAGTACTTTGAATCTCAAAAGCTTTACTAATCTTATTACAGGTATGCAAAAACTAACAATGATGAGATTTGATACATTTTGAAGGTCTTAGGCACATAAAATTGAATTTGTGGGTCATTACGCACCACTTACAATGTAGGTGCAATGTGACCTCAGGTAACCCGCAATGGAACATGTGTTCCATGGATGGAACCGCCATTCTTTAGATAGAACATGGAACGGGTACAGCACTTTTGGCCCTTTTTTTGCTGAAAATAGCCATTAAAGTCCCCCAAATGAGTCATTTGGAAGTGGTGTATGCCAAATATGTGACTACTATTCTGTAGACACACGTTCAAGGTACCCTTATACCGAATTTCAGATCATTTGGTTGTAATACCAGGGTTCAGGATCCAAAAATCCATTTTTTGTCAAAAAATGCCCCAAAAAACCTTCATAAAAATTTTTCAAAGGCATGTTTCAAAAAAATGAAAAAAACGTCTGGGGGTATTTGCCCACTCTACCTCCATGCCAAATTTCAGGTCATTTGGCTGAATGATGGCTGAGTTGAATCCCTTTGACTGTTTGGCAGGAGGAGAAGAAGAAGGAGGAGAAACATGAGGGAACACAATATATTTCATCCATACCATGGTATGGACTGAAATATAACAATATGTTTTCCTTTGGTAAAAATAAAGAGGACATACATATGTATGAGTAAACTGTATTTGTGACAGTTTAATTTCTGTGTCAACCTACCCTGGTATAGCAGGGGCTGAGTTCTCTCCCCTTACATCCTCTTTGGAGGGAGTAAAGGTGTTGATCATTCTCTGGAAAAATGAGCTCTGAAAACAAAACAAGAAACAAAATGACTCCACTTCTCTGAGGCATTTTTGAATGGAGAACAAGAATTAAGAAACTTGATATAAAATTGTGACTGAGCACTCATTTAAGATATTAGAAAATTCTGAGCGTGAAAGTACAATTTTACCACAAAAAGTTAGGCTAATGACACATATTTGAAGTATTCTTTCTGACTGAAGATATTCATGCATAAATACCATTAGATTAGAAAAAAGAGCAACCCAATAATTATATGATATTTCAATAAATTGTAACACTCAGACTATGCAGGCAAACACAAGTCAGAAGTAATCAGTATTGTATTAGGAGACATGCCACATGCTATAAATGATGTTAAAGATTATAGTCTAGGCAGAGGAGATATTTGAGTCCTTGGGAGAAGCAGTTGTCCTGAAAGTTAGAGGAAGATTTCGTATGAAAGATGGCAGTTAGTGGTTAGTACATATTAGAAAGTAAAACAGCACAAAGTTTTGCTTGTATCAGATAGAACAGAGGTACAAGAAAAGACAGTGGTTAGCACCACCTCATTCAGGAAAGCAACAGGTGCAACCCTGGAAAAGTAGTCAGTTAGAAAGACGGACACACAAACAGCCAGAAAACCATGATTAGTAATTTCCTCCACCTGTCGTTGTACCTTGTTGCCCCTTCCTCTGGTCTGGAATGGAAAAAAACAATGTTCAGTTAAAGATTTCCTCCTATTATTCACTATAATAACTTATGAAAATGAACTAAAATGGTGTGTGAAGTTAAAACTTCTTCAGTAGACTGACCCAGTGAGGCTTGTCAAATGGCTTTGACTCAATGTTGATGTCACACTTCAAAGAAGCCATGTAACAAGTCTCACTGGGTCAGTCTACTGAGGAAAACCAGAGTGACTGGGCAAAAGCTCTAGGTGAGAGACTTTATTGTGTGGGATCTTAAGTGTGAACTCAAAACATGTAACTTCCAACACAGATGAACTTTCATGATAAATAATGAATAAATAAAATTAATAAACTTTCATGATAGAACTAAAATGATGTGTCAAATAATACTTGTGGAAATACATTGTACATGCTTACTTACTTTTCCCAGTCAATCCCATGCATTAAACTACTGAATCAGCAAATTTGGTGGTAGTGCCTGTGTCTATCCCTACTGTTGACTGTGTTACTGATATCAAACACTAAACATGCTTTGATTATATAAAACTTTACATGAAGTAATTGTAATTGTAGTCATATCCACTCGACTGTCAATGATTAGCTGTTAGATATGCTCTGCACTGGTATATGTAATCATGAGCTGGGTTGAGTGGTTAAGTCTAGCATATTGGGAGGGTGAAAGACATGAGAAATATTTTGATGTGCAAGACTAGTGAATCTTACAGGTAGGTAGTCACTACATGTAGGAGTAAACTGTGTACAACTGCTCTCCAAGTTGAACTTGCAAGGTCCTTTAAAAATGCATCTTTCTACATGCTAAACAACTGAGTTTTCATGTAGTGACTTGCACTACTAGCAACAGAGACCAGTGCATGGTGTATACGTTAACAATTTCACAAAAGCAAAATAAGAGCACACTATTTGACAGTATCTTTGAAAATGATAATCATGGTGCTTTCACAACTATAACTTTTAATCGTCTACCAGATACCTTTGACCCAGTGTTGACGTCACACTTCAAAGAAGCCACGTGACAAGCTTCACTGGGTCAGTCTACTGAGGAAGACCAGAGTGACTGGTCGAAAGCTTTAGGTGAGAGAACTTTTTGTGTTGGATCTAAAGTTTTAACTCTAAACATATAACTTTTAATGTCTAACAGTTGTTTTTTTTACCACCCACCTGCTCCTTGAGTTTCTTTGCCTTCCACTGTTTAAAGTAGTCATGTAGTAGCAGAGCTCCGTAGATTTTACCCACAGTGAGCCGGTCTTTCCGCAGCTCTGAAACAAAAAAAGTACCAAAAATTAAATTTATGACGTGTATACTATTAGTCAGTATATGTTTACGTTTGTACTTGATTTGTCAATGTCCTTTGTTTGTTTAGCTGACCTTTTTGTTTAGTCTGTTTTTAAAGCCCGAGTGCGATTTTATACGCTGCCATGTACCTGGATTGTGGTCAATAAACTATTATTATACCAAATATATTTCATGGCGACTCAGAATTTGAGTGTATTCCACTTAGTTTGCGCAGTTAATACAATCAGATTCCATGCCAATTTACATCATATTGAAAGGCAAATTGAAAGGAAAATTGTAACCAAAATTGACCATTCACATCCAAAAGAAATCAAAAGTCAAACCTGTAAAAACGCAAAATATTAAAATTTTGCGAAAACACAGAACATAATTTCATGAATCTGTGATGACATGCACAGGTGCTTTTGAAGAAATGGGTGCATTTTCATGCAGTAAAGTGTGTTTAGTTCAAAGAAATGAATGTGCACTGAGACACATGTGTCCGTGCATTAAACATATATTATAATATATTAATTGAAGTAAAATTTATATTTTAAACTCTTTTGACCAGGAGCAGGTAAAATTGTGCCATGCTTAAATAAGTATCAGGTGACAAAGGAAAAGGACCAGGAAATGGTAACTGTTTCTTCATCAAAAATAAATTAACTTTCTAAAAAAACAACTTTCCAAAAATAAAAAACAATGCCAATGCCAATGCATATCCATATCACAAGAGCATATAAGGTTTCCAATGCTGTTTGTGTTAGTAGGCAGCATAACTCATGAAATTAAGCATCAGAATCTGGGCAACATTAATTTTGGTATGTGGGTAGGTGTTTGCAAAATAAAGGATAACTTCAATTACAGGCTCCCTAGTGACTTTCTATGATACCACTTTTACTACTTCTTTAAATGCTATGATCATGATTTTTTGGTGGTAGTAGGCACTCAGGAAAAACTGGTAATGTTAGATATTTTGGTCCCCTAACAGCATTCTTTAAAACTGCAGGGGCTTTTTTTGTTCGCAAAAGGCTCCCATGATTCCATTGCTGCATGGACTGTTGGAACAGTTCACATTTTAAACAGGGGTGATTTAGGAACAATCCATTTGTGCAGGAGGGGAGATAGGTCCATTTTTGGTACGGGAGATGTGGTGAGGCTGTGCTGCATTTGCTCCTGCATGAGCAAATGTTGGCCTTTCTAGGGGAAATTTGGAATGAGCAGGAAGAATGGGTGAAATGTGCTGTATTTGCTCTTGAGCAAATGTCGGCCTTTCTAGTTAAAAACATCTTTCCTGCCTGGTCTTGGAACAAAGATGAGGTAGCAGAGTTGGAGAGTTGAAGCCACCGAAGAGTAGCCTGGGTGCCAATTCCTTTGTAGTTTCTGCCCACTTGCTAATGTTACTGGCTACCACTACTTCTGTGGAAGCCAGCTACATTAGGGAGCGGGCAGAAACTACGGAGGATATGGCACCCAGGCTAACCGAGGAGAGACAGGCAACACGTATTAGTAACCTCCACCTTACCCGTCACGTTTAAGGACCATGACAGAAATGTGTTATGTTCGTCGATAGTGCTTTGCTCTGTACCTTCTTCAGGCGGCATGAGCATGTCGATGGTTTTCCTGGGCACCTGCGGCCAGGTGTTGATTAAGGCGTCTCTCAGCTCCCGATCCGCCTTATTCTGTAGCTCAGCTGTAAGGGAGTCAAGACATGTCAAAAACTTTTGTAACAGGCATCTCTCAAGCCCCTGTCACAATGTTCAGGGTCATCCCATGATTTTGCCATTGAGTAGCCTCTGTAGCAGAACTGGGGGTTTGGTGGTCTTTGGCTGTTTTCTGATAAGCAAAAATGGGGGTAATTCAACCAGGCCGGCTATGTTGTCTATATGCAATCAGAAAATAGCACATAAAAGCTCCCAAAGACCCCCAAAACCCCCAGTTTTCTGGCATGCTATGGAGGCTACCCATTGAGACATAGTTGAACTACATATACAAGATAATGTAATTGTTGATGGCAAAAAGGTTTAGGATGATCATGCTTTAGCCACACTAAAACCTTAGACATAAATGACTATCAAAGGATTGTTTTAAGATCTGAGCATATCGGTGTGTAGACTCTATGTGGAGTCAACCAAAAATTTGGGGTAAGTCCCATTTCTGTAGTTTAAGTGTTGGAAGTTAAAGCTTAGTCTTTATTTCATAATGACTTGTACCAACACAGATGAACTTTCATGCTAAGTGTAGACTCTATAATAGCAGGTAATAGCACTATAAGAAGACTATAGTGTGATACAACTGCAGAAGTATAAAGACAGGAAGGAAGGCACAAAGTACGTTTATCTATCTTGATGTTGAGAGAAGTCCGTATCAAGGCAAACAGGGTGGTGGTGAAATGCACGGTCTTGTTGTCATCTACAGCCATGTTCATTCGGATCAACCTCTGCAGGGAAGGAAGTAAAAACAAAACACATTTATTACTTCTAGAGAACGTTGGCAGAACGTACTGCACCTGCACAAAACCTGTGATATATTGTGCATAGCACTTTGGCAGAACATCTCATATAAGGTCATATTTGCGCACATAAGGTTAACAATCCTTAGTTTCCAAATGTCATGTCAGAAAAAATAGGCAACATTCTGATGCAACGTTGACCAAAAATCCAACAAAAAACATGAAAAATGGGGTGTGTGTGTGCAGGCGCAGTACGTTCTGCTGACTTGCTTACTTCAGGTGTAGTACAAAATGTACATAGATCGATATGCAATCTTTACACATAAGTCAAGTGAAGAAATACAATGTAGGTGTTAAGTGCCTTTCCCAAGGATACAACAATTGGCCTGACAGGGATTCGAACCCAGAACCTTCGGGTTCTGATATGAGTCAATAACTCTAACCACAAAATTGCCTTGCCACCTTCAAGCAACAGTTTTCTTGTATAACATCTGGATGACTGTCTACTTTCATCGATACATGTGGTCACAGTTAGTCATTAACTCAGAAAAGAGGAACTTCAGGATAAATTGGTATGTTCTGACCTTGTAGGCCACTCTAGCAGGACACTTCCTTCCGAAGCCCAGCGGCGGATTGAGTTGCTTCAGCAGGTCAAACATATCAGTGTATGATATCCTGCCACTAAACACAGAAGCAAGCATGTAAAACATAATACTAGTATCTGATCAGTGCACATGTATGATATTCTGCCTCTGCAAGCAGAAACAGGCATAGCATCAACACAATCAACATCTATTCATTTATGAGGCTTAATCACATTTGTGGAAGGATTGACACAGTTGACTCTCACTTCTTCAAGATGTCAAACCTGAGACCAGACCATAAGGTGAGAACCACACACACCAGGAAGGTCCCCAGCTATTGGAAGCAAGGAAGGAAGGAAGAAAGGAAGGAAGGAGGGAAGGAAGGAAGAAAGGAGGTAGAGAAGGATGGATGGGAGGGAATAGGGAAGGAAGGAAGGAAGGAAGGAAGGGAGGAGGGGAGAGAGAGAAGGAAAGGAGGGAAGGAAGGAAGGAAGGAAGGAAGGAAGGAAGGAAGGAAGGAAGGAAGGAAGGAAGGAAGGAAGGAAGGAAGGAAGGAAGGGAGAATGGAAGGAAGGAGGGAAGGAAGGAAGGAAGGAAGGAAGGAAGGAAGGAAGGAAGGTAGAAAGAAAGGAAGGAAGGAAGAAGGACGGATGGGAGGGAAGGACAAGGAGGGAAGGAAGATAGGAAGGAAGGAAGGAAGGAAGGAAGGAAGGAAGGATGGAAAGAGGGAAGGAAGGAAGGTAGGAAGGTAGGAAAGGAGGATGGATGGATGGACGGGAGGGAATAGGGAAGAAAGGAAGGAAGGAAGGAAGAAATGAGGGATGGAAGGGGGAAGGAAGGAAGGTAGGAAGGATATAGGAGTAGGAGGAAGGAAGGAAGGAACGAAGGAAGAAAGGAACGAATGAACAAACGAACGAACGAAAAGAAGCTATCTCACGTTGCTCCTGGGTCGAAGTCAGCCCAGACTCGGATGTACTCTTCCAAGTGGTGGGGGCCTAGGATGGACGTGTCCCGTGTCAAGTAGTCAAAGTTGTCCATGATGACAGCAACGAACAGGTTCAACATCTGCAGAACAGCGGGAAAAACAGAAACTTCTTAATTCATCGGTTTTCACACAGTAGCTGAAATGTTTTATCAGATATAAAGACGGTGATATAAAACCAAGGAAAGTGACAGACGGTCACTGAAATGTTGGCTGAATAAAACACTGTCTTGGTTGTGAATTAATAGTCTCTTTGTTCAGTGACTTACAACCTGATAAAACTACATGTATTCAGGGATCTATCTAGTATAAACAAAGAAACAAACAAGTGTTTGAAATCTTGATATGTCTTTCAATGAATTCATCTCAAGCTTTCTAAAGCATTCAATTTTCCCTTTTTCATAGAAAATTTTCGCCCAAGTTATCATTGGATGGCATTTCAGCACTAGAAACTGCATCAAAAACTCCTTCCACTCCTACCATATGATTAAATCCTGGAGAACAAACAAACAAACACACAAAACTTTCTTCAAAGGCTGGCAAATGACTGGCAAAATCTCAAATCCTGGGAAAAAATTGTGTGGTCGTGTGGCACAGCGGCAGAGTGCTTGACTCCGAACCAAGAGGTCCCGGGTTCGAGTCCTGACATGCCACCAATCTTGTGCCCTTGGGAAAGGCACGTTACACGACTTTCCTCACTTAACTCAAGTGAAGATGAGTGTTGTCTGTCCAGTATTTGTTCCTATGTGTGGGACACAACACCTGAGCTACTGCTGCGTGTGCCCCATGTGTATTGTATTGTCACAATTTCAATAAACCAAATCAAATCTCACCAAGAAGGAGCAGAGGAAGATGAAGGATGTGAAGTAGAAGTAGGCGAATTCGCTGCCACATTGTGGCACAGGCCCGTTCTCGCTCTGCGGGTCACACATCGCTCCCGGCAGGCAGGACAGCATGATTTCCTGCCACGCCTCGCCTGTCGCACACCTGCAACAGGTCCCAAATATGCAAATTTAGCACATATGTACTGTACACCTGTCCCAAATATGCAAATTTCCACATACATACTATACACCTGATTCAGTTTCATATAGAACAATACAGCATGATCTCCTGCCACGCCTCTCCTGTTGCATACCTGGGGGATTCAAGAGGTCCCAAATATGCAAATCAGTTCTGTATTTCAACTACAGGTTGTGTATATATACACAACCTATAGAAGCTGTTGATTTTATTCGGAGCCCCACACATGTAGATAGATTAAGTGCAATGCCATCGTGATTGAATTTCTTACATTAATATTTTGTAAATGTGCTCTGAATGTATAAACTTCATTAGGTCATTTAATTTAGAAAAAACAAATTATATATAACTTGATGCATGTTGTGAGTATATTTCCATTCAAATGAGACACATGTAGCCATATTACATGTATGTAATATGTCCTACCTGAATAGAACCATGAGCCCTTGTATGAAGGTTCTGAAGTTGTTATGCCTGTGGATCTCAGTATCATCATCTAGAGCTATGTTACCAAAAACCTGAGTGCACACGAAGGAAAGACCAGTCAGACAATGTTGTAGCCAGTGAAACAATACATTTAACACATATTTGTACAATAATATTATAACAATTGTATATACAATGTACTGAAAATCCCACAATGAAAGAAAATTGGGCACACGACCCTTAAGTCTTACTAGCCTCCACCAGGCCTTTCTACGGGAATACGGATCTTTGCAAAAAAGAGAATAAAATTGGCCAAGGGAGTCAGTCTGCGAAAGGTTGATTAACTGTGCAGCCAGTCAAACCCAAGGCGGCCGAACTCCCCTGGCAAATATTCTCCTATATGTAACCAGCCAGTTAGTCTGATAGAGACTTAACGTTAAGTCTTACCTGCATGCCTACAATGGCATATATGAACAACAGCATGGCGATGAGCAGGACAACATAAGGTAAGGCCTGGAGAGTGGGGAAAAGACAAGAGCTTCAGGTCTCTGCTACACTCAATGATTATTACATGACGAGCATTGTATGATACAATCAGACTGAGTTAAAGGTTCCTCTATTTTACAGCAACCAGTGAAACCATTACAAAATGTGTTTCATACTGTATAATGTGGTGGTTTTGTGTTGTGTTTGCACTACAGTGTGCTTAATAACTAAAGTAGATTACTGCTAATTTTAACACAGACATACATTGTAAATAAGATGAACTACAGGTAAAAGAAAACAATCATTAGTGATACACAAGAAAATAGGGAAAACCAATGAACCAGCTAACTAACAAACAACTAACCAAGTAATGAACCCTAAAAAACTAAATGTCCAGATGTTTACCTTAAAAGACTGGATAAATGTCCAGATTCTTACCTTAAAAGACTGGATAAATGTCCAGAGCAGAGTCCGGATAGTCTCCCCCTGCCGAAGCAGTTTGATCAGACGTGCGGCTCGGAACAGCCTCAGGAAACTCAGACTGATGAAGTTGTCCTGAAGTTCAGGGAGAGAAGAAAATTAGATTTCTGCACAATACTGATAGTTTTGTTGTCCCAAAAGTTTGAACACAATAATCAAAAAATGTATTTTTCCCCCTCAAGTCAAGTACAGTTAAAAATAAAATAGAACATTTCTTTGCCTTTATAAGGAAATAAAAATATAACTTGCTGTTCCACCAATACAATGCAAATAACAAAACCATTTTGGGAGAGAAGAAAATTAAATTTTTTCCAACTGCACAACAATGATATTTTGTCACATTGAACAAAATGATATTTTTCCCTCAAATATCCTATAAGTTAAAAATCAAATAGAATATTGCTCTGCCTTCATAAGGAAATAAAATATAAAATGCTGTTCCCCTTATACAATGCAAATAACAAAACCATACTGTCAAGAGCAACAATTGGCAAAAATTAGAACACATGCACTTTTTAGCGTGATCATTATCAAAGTAAATCATCAAGCAATCATTAACCATAACCATTTACTGTGAAAGCAACTGCCACTCTTCATACAGTTTTTTGTACATCATAAGCTACTAAAACTGTCAAAACTGTTTAAAATGTATAACTTTCCAGACAGTCTTATATATAGACAAATATATAATATACATAAAATGCAAGCCATGCATGAATCAAGTACAATGAAGACATGAATAGTTTTGAACTATGGACATTGCTTCATCTAGTTTAATTTCAACAAAGACGATCATGGCACAGTTGCTAGGGCCTGGGAAAAAATGTTGTTTCCTGTTTCGTTTTCTTTTTTTATTAGACTTTGGCCATCTCTAGTGATCCAACTTATACAATACAGTTTGACAAAGGAAAACTTGCATTAGGATACTAATATTTTCAATGTCAATGTTAGGAAAACAATTGTGCAACGTTTCATCACTCAGATGTCAGGTCATGGAGCTAGAAAAGGTCAATCAGCTCAAAAAATGTACGTCCCTTGCAGGGGTCCACCCACAAAAAGGCTAGGGTGAGCAGTTTTTTCTAAGGTCGGTATAGGGAAACAGGAAACACAACATTTTTTCCTAGGCCTAGTTGCAAACATAAAACAGGTACAAACATCTCACCACTTGTTGTTATGAATAAACAAAGGTAAAACTTACGCTCTGTTGGTTGGCAAAGCGTGTGCAGGAGCGGCAGAATGGGGGTTTTTCATCATGCAAAAGAAAGAAAAACGGCACAAAACAATGACAACTGGAACGTAAGGGCATGCTGGCCACCCAACGTAAACTGCGGCTTGTGCATGGCATGCACGTAATAAGCTGGCTCACAGTGTGAAGTGTGCATGTGAAGTGTGATGCACTGTACATGGATAATACATACAAGTTGAAGCCTTAGGCCTCTTTAGCCTCCGTAGCATGCCAAAAACTGGGGGTTTTGGGGGTCTTCAGGATCTTTTAATATGTGCTATTTTCTGATTGCATATACTAGTAGACAACATAGCCGGTCTGGTTGAATTACTGGGCTAATCAGAAAACAGCCGAAGACCACCAAACCCTCAGTTCTATTAGCCTGCTACGGAGGCTAGCCATTCTTTATGTATTGCCAGCAGCCCTCAACTTTGATGCATTGCCCACACAGTGTATCACTCTGTCAATGCACACTTGAAACTGTGCACCAGCTTATTGGTTGGATAGCTTGGGCTGGGAGGGGAGGGGGGGGTAGGTATGTCCACCTACCGCAAAGTCTCCCTAGATGGCATGGTCAGGACACAGGTTACAACAGTTAAAGAACAGGTTAAACATTCAACTTACATTGTACTGTGATTACAAACACAACCATTGATAGTGACTGCAGATACAAGACCACAAGAACATAGCATTGTCACAAGGTACTTTCGGCCTCAGGCCATAGTATGTTTACTAATCAGAGTCAGATACCATTTTCTGGTTCTCAGATTTCACAAATTATCATGCAATGTATAGACAAAATTATGATTAAGACTTGTAGAGACATACACAAGAAACACTTCTGAAAAACATCAGTTGAAAAGAGTTAATGTTTTTGCACAAATTGGTTGACATGTATCCTGACTTGTATAATCAGTACTTATACATGTACATGTACTTATACATCTTGTATAAGTCAGGATTACCCAATAAAATGAGCTCAATAATACAACTGTGTGTTAACATACTGTACATTTTGAAGGTATACCTAATCTGAAAGTACAGTCAAACCTGCCAAGGTGACCACCTCTGCTGGCCACCTGGCCATAGTGACCACTTTTTCTCAGTCCCCCAAATTTTCCCCATTGACACAAGCATTAAGTATCCTGTCCAAGGAGACCACCTGTCCAAGGTGACCACTTTTCTTTGGTCCCCTGGGTGGCCGGCTTGGACAGGTTTGACTGTATCTGTATGATATACCTGTTTTTTATACACTAAGTAGATGCTAGGAGGACACAATGACCACAGAATAAGATACCATGGAGAGAAAGGGGCACACATGAAGATTGTGCTCGCGACGTTGGACTTACCCCAAAGTTGGACACAAGGATGTCAGTTACACTCCCGACAACCGTGATGAAATCAAACACGTTCCACGCGTCCCGGAAGTAATTCTGTCAACAGCAAAAAAAAGGGCCTGATTATAGAAAAATCACAAGCATTTAAAGAAAAATGTACAACTAGACAATAATTGAATTGTATGACTGTCTCACCACAATACTTATAACAGATAAATAAACATAATTCATCTTAAAATTGTGGCTCACAGTGTATATGTATGCCTTTCAGTATTTGAAATCTAAAGATATATCTTTCATTGTTTGTTTGTTTATCTATTCCAGTCTCCAATAAATTTTGTGACTGAAAAAACTAGGCTGCCTAAAGCATACAATTTCCCCTTTCTTATAGAAAGTTTGTGTCCAAATTATCATTGGATGGCATTTCAGCACTAGGAATGCAAACATTAAACATTTTGAAAAACACCTTTTCCACTCCTACCATATGATTAAATTCTGGAGAAAATTTAATACATTTTACAGTTACTGTAATATTACATACCCTTGGTCCAAAGCCTATCATCTTCAAGATACACTCCAATCCAAATAACGAAGTGAAGGCAATGTTGAAGTAGTTGAGAATTTGATCCCAAGCTACTGTCTGTTGGTAATGCTGCAGAATAAGAGAATAATATACAGGTGAAACATGGTCAATTTAGCATTATTCCTCCAGTGGCTATCATTTTAGCTATGGTTTGCATCTCTGAGTTTTTGGAGTATGACTTTGCTGTGATGCATTAGACTTAATGTTTTATATACAGTGTATGTTGTCCTCCAGGCTGGCCCAAATTGCACCCTACATACAATATGCGTTACTGGTATAAAAATTACAACTAAAAAACCTACATTATCCGGTATATCTTAAAAAGTCGACTTCATATCTATCAATAAGCAGCAATAGTACAAACACAATCAAATTTAAGAATAACACAGATATCAGAGACATCACTAATATGCTGGGCCCCCTTGCAATTGAAAATCAGCTATTGCAAGCTGAATGGGGCCACCCAGCCATCTTGAGTTTAAGTAAAGAATTAGATACCTTGCACATCAAGGCGACGGTGTTCAGAGCGATCATAGCCATGATGAAATACTCGAACGCGGGGGAGACCACGAATTTCCACATCTTGAACTGGAAGGACTTCTTGTTCTCGGGCATATATCTGGTCATAGGCTTGGCATTCATGGCAAAGTCTATACAGTTTCTCTGAAAAAAGGGTAAAAAAAATACATTGTACTGCAAGATTTTGGGGTCGACAAAAGTACACACAGCTAACAGAAGCTTTTCTTGTTCTTGGGTCATATATCTGGTCATAGGCTTGGCATTCATGGCAAAGTCTATACAGTTTCTCTGAAAAACGTATAAGATACAATGGTTAGTTGTTTCGATTCATAACAATACACCAAAATACATTGCAGCCACTTGTACATACATGTACAAATGTAGTACAGGTCTCTAAATTATGCATTCATGGCAAAGTCTAATAATAAGTAATACAGTTTCTCAGAAAAAAAAAGGGTAAAAAAGATACAATTCACTTCAAGATGAATTAGAATTTTTTTATTAACTTCACGATTCACCACAAAACAAGGCTCATGAGAGCCACTGAAAATGTTTTGGGTTACTGTACAGCCAGTGCAGGACAGATGTTTGTTGACCTTAGACTTGAAAATTTAAGGTTCTACCATATGGGAAACAATCACGAGGTAGCTTGTTCCATAGTGATGTTGTATAGGAAAGACGCTTTCAGTGTGGAACTTCCTCCTAAGAGGTGGTGAATGGAGGAAGAAAGGGTGATTTGCTTCTGAATCAGTGAAAGACGTGTCCTTGCTGAGAATATTTGAAGTGGGGGCACTAGTGAGTGAAGTTCCTCAGATAATTTTTTTTTTAAACCAAATTTAACGTCATTTTTCGGTTAGACGTGCTTGCACCAAGTACAAGTCTTTTTTTGAAGCAGGACTTTTACGGCTGGATGCTCTTCCTAACGCCAACCCAAACCCTAGTAGGGCCTGGGATCCCTCTAACTGAGGGGGGAAATGCATGTTAAGTGCCTTTCCCAAGGGCACAACGTCTGGGTGCATGATTGTCTGGACATGTCTGGGTCCAACCCTGGGGATTGAACCTGGGTCTTCTTGCTTGACAGTCAGACGCTCTATCCACTATACACCACACAGATGCCACTATATAATGCAAAGAATAAAGCAGATTTTGCACATTTTTACCTCGTTTTTGTCTAGAATGCCGGATTCTAGCGCCTGCTTTTCACCCTCCTCCTGGAAGGTGATGATGATCAAGGCCACAAAAATGTTGACAAAGAAAAACGGAAACACAACGAAGTAGACCACGTAGTAGATAGCCATCTCTTTACGGTAGCCTGGAGATGGTCCGGTGTTCTCTGTTGTCGAGTCCATGGACCACTGCAAGATCCTACACAAACCAGACAGAAAAGGGTTTATGACAGTCAGAAACCGGCTTAATGATTATATTGTAATGTGAAAGGGAACACACCCATAACAAGGTGAGACAATCAGCTTTGGCAGAACATACAAAGTTTACTGAATTCGAGAAAATTCAGCAATAATACGCCTTGATACATTGATGACATGACTGTATCACAAACAAAATTTGTGCGGGAAATGAACACATGTACAATGTATGTAACATAGAGAGCATTGGATATGTAAGATATAATACATGTATATGTGAACCAAGGCATCAACCTGGTCCACAAGCTTTGTTTTCATTATGTTTTCTAGTTGAGCACTATTTTGTCAAAAATTTGAAGAAAAAAAATTCAGTTCATATAACTAGAAAGATAACATTTGCATAACAAATGCATAATGTTTACCTTTGCATATGGTCTGATCTGTTAATACTTACGTCAAACACATTGATTTCATATATGTTGGTCAGACAGGAGTCTGAATCCCTCCTGCTATAAAATTGCAACATGATGTAACCCAACTCTCGTTACCATGGAGACAGACGTCTGGTTCAGGTCATTGACCTTATTGGTTTGGATAAGAAGAAGAAGAGGAGGAAACAGAGCAAAAACAATAGATGTTTTCCTTTGGTAAACATAAATATGCAACATTTAAGTATTTATCTTTACCTTCAATATTGTTTTTGCTCAGTTTCTTCCTCTTCTTCGTCTCCAAACAAATAAGTCAACAAGTCAATGACCTTGACCAGACGTCTGTCACCATGGTAACATAATTAATACTCACGCTGGCCATCCTTCCCCAGTAGTGACAGTGAAGAGTGTTAGGAGGGCCCAAAACACATTGTCATAATGGAAGTCTCTTCGCTTCCACTCCCTGGGTTGCACGTTGACTTCGTCGTCGTTATATTCTAAATAATAACCCCTGAAAAGGAAAAAAAGAAGATTATCGTCAAAGTTATGACGACATTTGGGCAAAATTTTGACACATTATTGCATAGCATCTGTATCTGCATCTGAATAGCTGGTATAGCTGCCTTTCGGTGCAATACACCAGCTTTGCGGGCACGCGTGGCGGCAGCTGGCTATATTACACTGATCGACTTGTTACACCTAACCCTTGAACTTCTAGCTCTAGACATTGTTTAAAGCTATCTAATGATAATGCCCCTACTGTTCCTGGTGACAGCGAGTTCCACTCTGAGATAGTTCTAGGAAAGAATGAATTCTTGAACACCTCAATCCTTGTTTGATGGTACTTGAAGGCATGACTAGTTCTTGTTCTTTTCTGAGCTGGTATTAGGTACTTAGGGTTGTCAGTTTCCATGTGTTTCTGTATTTAACACAGAAACAACCATAATTCCACGCCTTTGTGGTGAAGAAACAGAGAGAAAGCCACAAAAGGTCATTGATGACATGACTTACTGGCAGGATTCCTCCTTGTTCTTGGAGGCATCCGTGCAGTAGAACTTGCCCTTGTCATTTATTCATTCATTCATTCATTCACTCACTCACTCTCACTCACTCACTCACTCACTCACTCACTCACTCACTCACTCACTCACTCACTCACTCACTCACTCACTCACTCAGACATGACTCACTGGCAGGATTCCTCCTTGTTCTTGGAGGCGTCCGTGCAGTAGTAGAACTTGCCCTTGTAGAGCTGCACGGCTACGACCGCGAAGATGAATTGGAACAGCATGTAAACTATCAGGATGTTGATGACGTTCTTGATGGAGTGGATTACACAGTCAAACACAGCCTGCAGAGGGGGACAGAGAGTCTTCATTGTGAGTGTTTCAGCGAGAGCTCAAATTATTAGATACACAAAGTCACTACATGTGTACTTTGTTGTGAGCATTCGGCTCCCTTGAACACATCTGAATATTAATAATTTCAACCACCTTCCGACCCGGATTCTCAAGTTTACAGCATTCAAGTTTACCAACCCCACTCCTTGCCTCTTCATGTACATTATGTGGGAGTGCCAATAATTCCTTCAAAGTACACTCAATGACATGTACAATCATACATGTATGTTTAATACTAGCGTATGTGGCCTAATACTAGCTATTGGGGAGCAACTCTGCATCTGGACCATGATGTTGAATCTTGGCTCTTGTTGCTCACCCAACCCCCACATTTAAAAAATGATTTATGACTAAAAATGAAAACGACTATAATAATATTATGAATTTCAAAGTACTTGCCTTGAGTTTCGGTAGTCTTTTTATAGACTTAAGCGGTCTGAGCACTCTCAACACCCGAAGTGTTTTGATAGTGTTCAGATTCTTTCCTCCTCCTTGGGAACCACTGCAAATCAAACAACAAGTTTTTCAGTACCAAGGAAAGCTGCTAGGGGGCCCACAATCTACATGCATCTATAGGATATATAGTTACATATCAACAACAAATCAAATATCATCACTATAAGATTGATATTTCAGAGTTCGTTTATTTATCAACTAGAAGCTGAGAAAACAATCATTTTATCAACAAACTAATTCTAATTCTAAGTCCTTCCATCTACACTCTTACTAGCTACTAGTACATGCATTGTGAAATAAAAACTTATTCTACCAGTACTTAACATGACTTCTGGCCTCATACAGAACATTATGTATTTGTAGTATTATGTTTACTAGGTAATATGGATTAGTTTACTAGTTATTTAGTTATATTTGTTAAACTGTGGTGCCCAACATCAGCCATTCCTGCTTCAATATGAATGAACGAACTTTATTGCTCGACAGTTGTACATGGTACAATGTATGGCATCAATAACAATGTGATCAATACAATCAAGTCTATTCTAACAGAAAGTACAACTTGTACAAGTATTACTACAGAAATATGAAGCTAAACGGCGTATGACATGATGCGAGTTAGGTGTTGCTACATGTATCTGTTACTGTAACAATACTTTCTCTCTTTTGTAATGCACTACATATATATTGGCCTAAGTACGTACTGCTGCATTGTGATGTTTGCACTTCCAATAATTAAAAAAAAACAAATAATGCAATTATCTTACCTGAATGCAAAGGCAACCAGAGCTCCTGTTACGACCACTGCATCCAGAAAGTTCCACAGATCCCTGAAGTAGGCACCCTTGTGTAACACCACTCCCATGTCAATCAACTGTGCAAGGACCAATCACAGCAGACAGTTAGTTTCAGTTTCGGTTTATTTATTTTACCAGAAGGATTGGGAGCTGCCCAAGTCCTATTTACCCCTACTCCGCAAGGAGGCGGGGGAGGCCAGAAGATCCACACAAGTCTCGACCTAGTCTCACTAGGTCATTCCGTGATCAAGGTGTACAGTCGACACCAAAAATTTGGAGGTATGTAATCTACGTATACCTTACAAAAATAGTCACTGATGGATGAATTTCTACTAACTGTTAATTCTACATGACATTTTCCAAAAATTGTCAGTCCGCAATTATTTCATTGTATCCTTTGTAACCTATTTCAAATCCATAGAAGAGAACATTGCACAAAACAAAACAATTTAATCAGTCACTATTTCAGAATCTAATAATATCTATGGGAATACTATCTCTTTCCATACCTTGATCGTCATCTCAAAGGTGAAAATCCCGGTGAAAACGTAGTCAAAATATTTCAGAATCTGGAACAGAAGAAGCAATGTATCAGTTTGCTATGTTAATTATTACTCAACACATTATATATGGTGACAGGAGTCTAAATCCCTCCTGCTATAAAATTGCAACATGATGTAACCCAACACCAGTTACCATGGTGACAGATGTCAGTGATACATGTCATTGACCTTATTTGTTTGAAACAAAGAAGAAGAAGAAACAGAACAAATTTTATGTTTTCCTTTGGTAAACATAAAAACTCATAATCTAGAGTGCAAGTTGACTATCTAGTTCACCTCGTTTCTCTGCGAGACTTTGTTGACAGGATCCTCTGCTGCTAGTGTGATGCTGCTGCAGACGATTACGAACATGATGGCAGGATCAAAGAACCGCAGGTTGATGATCCAATGGGCAGCAAGACGCACGCTACAGAGAAAAAAAAATGTCAAGAAACTAAACATCTTAAAGTTGGTCATACGGCAAAAGAAATCAGAATTAGATGGAAGACAGCATTACCTCAGTGAAGGTTAGACACCTCCACTGGTAATAAGATATGCCAAAAACAGTCACTCAAGTAACTGGATATGTTGGAAATGTTCAGATGTTTCAGGTAGCAAGAGTACTTGAAGTAAGCTTGAGTAACTGTTTTTTGGTGAATGTAACATTAGTCTACAGTGAAATTTGTGTTTGAAAATGACAATTATCATTGATAATGTTGGATAATACTAAGTCTATTAGGCTAGTAGCAGAGGCTAGGTTGTGTGTACACACAGAACCCTAAAACCCACTCCTAAACCATTAGTTAAAACACCCTGCTACAAGGAGGAGTTTCGTGTTTTGAAAGAACTTACGGATTGGTGGTGGAGAAGATGAACATGGAACTATAAGGCACCATCGGTTTGGGCTCCCCGTATTCCTCTTCATGCTCTGCTTTTTCTCCATCTATATCACAGGGCCAGACAAAAAAGGTCTTTAACTTTAAAGATAACTTCATTGCACAACATTTGTACAGGGTACAAAGTATGGCATGTACTAAGTACATATTAACTACATTTTCAAAAGGCTAACCTAACTAATACAAAAGTGGGATAGGTATCAACTTTTACAATCATCGAGTTTCTAATATCTAGATTCTATACAGTATTTGATATATATCGCTATTTATAGCATGCAGCTGCAGGGGTTGAAACAAACAAGCAAAGGTGCTAACATGTCAAAAGACATGTCATTGGTCCAGTTTAATTCAAATCATGTTGTTATTGAAGTGACAGCCAATCAGCACCAAGGACATAAACAGTTCTCAGGATAGATAACATCAAAGATCTTTTCTGATTGGTTCAAATGTCACCTATTAACAATGTTTTGTATTCATGTTTTTTGTAACTGTTGCAGACACAAGCTTGCAATGATGATGTGTTTAACAAATATTGGACAGTTGAATTCAATAATAAGTGACTAGCTAAAAATGGTGGTTAGTTTGGCACCCCAAAACATACATGTAGCAGCTGGAGTGATGGAAATCAAACAAAGATTATAAAGAAAGAGCATTTGGAATTCAAGTGGGTTTAAAAGAGATAGAAGTTGCGTTAGAAGACCTTAAACTCAAGAGTTGATTTACGTGAGAAAAGAAAGTATGACATCTGTTTACTCTGTATCATTTGTATCCATCTTTAATTTTTGGGCTGTCTCATTCCCCTTGTGTTTTATTTCAAAACAATTTTGCAGTTAATTTTATTCTTACATCAAGATTAGATTTAATATGCTGTATTCCTAGTACATTGTAGAAATTACAGACAAAAAAAGCACAACAAATATTTTATTGTTTACAGTAATCAATTTTCTAAAGTCACAAAAACTACACACCACAAATCAGCTATACAAGAAACATAATTGTTAAGCATCTAAATTCTAAATGTGTTTTCACAACCTAACACTGCAACAAAAGCCACAAGAAAGGGGAAAAGAGACAGGACAACACGGTTAAGAAGGAAAGACAGAGAGAGGGAAGGAAGGAGAGAGGAAACAGAGGAGACAGGTAAGCAACAGGACCACATGGCATGTTTAGAAGACAGAGTGAGGGAAGGAATGAGAGAGGAAACAGAGGAAGTAGAGGAGGATCTTCAGAAGACAGAGCGAGGGAAAGAATGAGAGAGAAAACAGAGGGAACTTAGGACTTAGAGGAGGATCTTCAGAAGACAGAGCGAGGGAAAGAATGAGGGAAGAAACAGAGGAGACAGGTAGGCAGAGGAGACAGGTAAGCAACAGGAGCACATGGCATGTCTAGAAGACACAGCAAGGGAAGGAATGAAAAAGAGAGAGGAAACGAAAAGCGTGGAAAAAGAAGCGTCCCATTACCACCATCCTTAGTGCCTCTCCTATCACCATGTGCACCTCTCTGCAGGGACTTACCAAACTCATCTCTCTCATCGGCATCCCTGCGAAAAGAAAGAAACATAACATATGAAAACTCACTGTAATGCATTAAACAGTAACTGTTGTAGATACAAAGAATAAGAGGGTTCAGGGTCCCAATTGCACATGTACAATGTACATGGTCAAAGGGCGAAAATTTGGGTGAGTCCAAATTGTTGTGTTGGAAATTACAGTTGAAACTTGCTTCATAATGGTCAAAGGTAAAGGCTCCTGACATGTGAAAAATTTCTTGTTTAGACCATGACTTTATGCCTAGACATTAATATGAAAGTTCATCTGTGTTGGTAGTTATCATAGTACAATGTTGAACTTTAAGTTCATACAAATAAAGTTCAACATTTTACTATTTCTATAATATGTTTTGCTGATGTCCCATGCCAGGGCTTTTAATTTTGACATATTACCAACAGTAAGTGCACCACACTGCACAGGTGCAGTTGGAACTCTGAACCCATTATTCAAAAACACCAGGATCAAATGAGGAGTCAAAAGTCTAACAGAAGGACATTTCTTACAAATGTGTGTGCTGCAATATATTTTCAGCTATCCACTCATAACTCAAAAGTCTATAATCACTATTTGAAACAGAACGCTACATGTAACAGTCACAACATTTTCAACAAACAGTGAAATCAGATGAATCAAAACACACAAGGGTTGAAGGTCACCACCAACACAACACAATGTATTTGCCTGATGAATGTTTAAGATTTACCATTTCTTAAAGGTTTGTTGACGATGGAAGACCATGAAACACTAACTTCCTTCTACATCGGTGAAGGTTAGACATCCAGGTATGCCAAAAAGCAGTTACTCAAGTGACTGGATTCCTTCTACCTTACTCTGTTAGAGCTCCAAATTCTGTTTCTTATAACCTGTGAGTTTTGATGACCCTATCTTTGAGATAAAAATATGGAAATCTTAGAGTTAGACTGTTTCCATGATGGACTACATCTGATTCAGAAACTTAGTGTGCCGCTCTAGAAAAATGAAAAGCTCCACTAGCAGGGAAGTGAAGATGTTGCTACGCTGGGAAGTTTAAAAAAATATTAACCGTCTTTTGTGACGTCTTCTGCCTTGTAATGTGTCAATGCCACTGTCTGTGACGTCCGTGTCTTGGTCGTTTGGTTGCCGTCGACGCCGCCGTTTCCGCTGGTCATCGTCCGGCGTCCTTCCGATGTCCCGCCGGCTCCTGCGACCGGCCGGGTCGTTCCTCGCATCAGAGCTACTTCTGTCTCTCCTGCGCGGCCCCATCCCTCCACCACCTTCCGCGCTCGAGTCCCGGTTGTTCCTCACCCGGTT